TTTTTTTTTTTATTTTATTATATTAATTAAAGAAATATAAATAAATTCACTAGTTAAAAATCAATATTTGTCATAATTTTAATTTAGTGCAAGATTAATAATCTATGATGAGTTCATTTTTCTATTTATTTATTTTTAGTATATTTAGGAATATATTGTCAAATAAAAATTTGGATATTAAAAATAGGCTATTCTTCTTTTATAGTCCTAACATAATCCAAAAATTGAAAATTATTAAATATCATTTGATATATTCATTCATTTTAAACTTTCTTATTTTATGAGAATGTTTCTAAGATATTCCAATGATTTACAATTAAGAAAATGCTTAATTTGGAATATTTAAGGTATTTTCTTTTTTTTACTTTTATTATTTAAACTTTAATATATCTATATATCTTCAATACAATTAGTTTATTATTTATTATGTTCTAAATCATAATGTTCCAAATATTTAGCAATCATTTTATAAATCAAACTTGAATGAATTTAAAATAGTATATATATATATATAATTCAATTTTAATCAATGACTAAAATTATCAGGATATAGAAAGATAATCAAGGATGAATAATATTTATTAATGATGAATGGTTTGATATATATGATAATTTACATATAGATAAATATTTAAGATCTAAAATAGACTTTTTTATATAAATAGTTTATTTATTAATGGAAATAAATAAATAAAATATTAAAAGTTTACTTTGCAAACAAAAATATTAGATGAAATACAGGAGCAATTGATCTACATCAACTTAAAAGTAATGGTTTTACAAGAATTTATTTATAGAGTATCATAAATTAAGTCTAGTTGAGTAAAATAAGAATTTCAATTGTATTGTAAAATTTAATCAATCTCTTTTTTTTCAATTTTTTTTAAGTTAAAATCTTTATAAAAGGATGTATAAAGATTTCTCAAGCATCTTCCTGTCCTCCAAATCGTTATTCAAGATGCCTTTTTAATATAAATTTTTAAATCTGTTGCTTATTTAAATTAAATATTTTAGAATTTCAATATTTTTACCTGTAACATATTCGATCATTTTTCTCTATCATTTTGCCTTTTCATTTATAATGTTAAGATAGTTTTACTCTTGAAACAATTTAATAATCAAAAATAATTCAGTTTAAGTGTATTTAGCATAGTATAATTTAGTAATGAAATTGTGTTTTGTTATTTCAAGAACATTTTGTTCTGTTTGTATATTTATTTTATATTTTAATGTATAAGCAGCTTTGTTTATTACATCTTTCATAGCATATAATTAAATATTAGTTTTATGTTAAACTAACATTACTCTATCATATATACTCTTTCATAAATTCCTAAATTAACTAAAGTTAATACTGATAGCGTAATGAAGTGATTTAATGAAACCTTTACATCATTCTCATCTTATTATGGAAACTCAGATATGACTTTTTGATCATCCTTGTTTTGATTATATTGTTATATTGGATCATCATCAAATAAAACTTATAGGTCTTCTTTAAAACAAATCAAACCCATACTTAAAAATATTTTAATATTACCAGCGCCAAACAATTAAATTTAAAAAAATTTGAGTTATGATTTACTCTCTACTGTAATAACATCTTTAAAATGAACTTGTTGGATCAAAGCATCAACTCACTGAGTTTCAGTTGCTCAATGTTTCTGATAATATCTATTAGGATACTAAAGATTTCAAATATTTCCTTAACATTAAAAATCATACACAATCTACTCTAATTATTTAGTAGTATAAATTTGAATATGAATACAACTTTGAGAACAACACAGTAGAATAACTAAATTGTCTAATTAATTAAGTCAATGATGATCAAACTAACATTTCAATTAATTTGCTTTAATACCAACATCCAATTCCAAGCCTACTAATTAAAAAAGCCTTTATAAAAAAACAAACACCTTAACCAGCACTTCAACCTCATTAAATTTACACTTTGATTTCTTAAAATTCTACATATTAAAAGATAGATGTTAGTTTCTCAAATTTAGATCTAATTTAAAGATCAGACAATATTGTTTATAAAGTAGTAACAGATAAAGAGAAAGTAAGTAAAAAAAAAATAAAAATTGAAAAACCATAAACAATAGATATCGATTCAATTAAAATGACTAAGGTTTAAGAGAATATAGATTCAAAAACAAAATAAGAAAACAATGTAAATAAATAATTGTTTAAATAATCACAAAAAAAACAAGATGAGAAAAATCAAAATCAATAACTAAAATCTTTAGTAAAGAAACTTGATATTCCAGAAAAATGGAAATAAGTCTCTTAAGAATTTAGTGAATCTCATAAAAAAGTATGGGATATCAAATATTATGAGAAATTGTTATTATTGACTGAATCTATTTCCAAAAGTATTTAATATTTATACCAATAGAATACTTCTATTAACACATCTTTAAAGAATGTATAGAGGAAGAATATTAAAAGAGATTTATTAAGTATGCTTTGCCACCTAATTTAAAAGATTAATCTATAATAAAAAAGAGAAAAATCTATAGTAAAGATGTTGTTTGTGCTCTTTTTGAATGATAATTTTATCATATATATATATATATATAATTAAATTATGGATTAATAACAAATGTATGATGAAGTTATTGATACAACAAATATTAAAATTGTGGTTCTTGGAGCTGAAGGAGTTGGGAAATCAAGCATAATCAATTAATTATGTGATAGAAAATTTGATCATGAAATTAAATCTACAACCTGTTATAAAATTGATAAAGCTGAATATATAATTAATGATCAATAATACACTTTATCTTTTTGGGATTGTGGTTCCTATCATAATTAATCTTATTAAGATGTTAAAAAGGTAATGGTTGATTTAAATTAGGCATTTTATAGAGGTTCTTTGTTTGCATTTCTTGTAGTTGATGCAAAATGTACTGATTAATTAAAAAGTGCAATTCAATTTTGGGATTAGGAATGTGAAGATTACAATGTATTTACAAAATATATACTTGTAAATAAAATGGATTTATTGGATGACATAGAATTTTTAAATTACAATAAAACTATATCAATTGGATAAACTCTTGAAGATGAAGATTAGATTTAAATTCAAATGATAAATTAGAATTTGAATTAAATAGATCATAAACATGAAATAGAATTAATGATTAATGATTTAGGCCTGAATATATAATTGTTTTTTGGTAGTGCAAAAAGTATAGAAATGGGTTACAAAAACTTTCTCATTAAATTAATTCAAAGTAATATTATGCTTAATTAATAGATAATAATATTTTTAATCTTCAAAAGGCTGATTCTGATAGAAGAATTCTAAAAAATAGATAGAATGAATCAAGTATTAGATAATCATTACCTATTGAAAGTTAAAGAAAATCTAGAGAGTAATTAAAATGCAATATCTATTGAATATTTATATTGATAATCTTATCAAAAACAACAAAAATTATAGAAATTTTGATTATTATTTTTTTGGATAAAAAACCAAAAAATTAAAATTAAAATAAATAATTTACACGTATTAAAAATGTCTTTGAAGTTTGAGATAAAGAAGAAACATGTTGCTCGTTCTGAAAGAGTTAAGAGTGTAGAATTACATCCAGAATATTCATGGGTATTATCTGGATTATATAGTGGTGTTATAACAATTCAAGATTATGCTACATAAGTATATTAAATATATAATTAGACTATTGTAAAATAAATAGAAGTGAATCAAAAATAGTAACCTGTTAGATGTGCAAAATTTATAACTAAGAAATAATGGGTTGTGGCTGTTAGTGATGATCTTCAATTAAGAGTATTCAATTATAATACAAATGAAAAAATTAAAGTAAAATGAAGTTAATAGATAGGCATTTGAAGCACATACTGATTATATTAGATGTGTAATAGTACATCCATCTTAACCATATTTAATTACAAGTTCAGATGATACAACTATAAAATTATGGGATATTGATAATAATTTCACATTAATAAGAACATTTGAAGATCATGTTAATTATGTAATGATGGTTGCATTCAATCCAAGAGATCCTAATACATTTGCAAGTGCTAGTATGGATAATACAGTAAAAGTATGGACAATTCAAAATAACAAACCTAATTTCACATTAAGTGGACATGAAGGTGGTGTAAATTGTGTTGATTTTCATCATGGAGATAAACCTTATCTAATATCAGGTGGTGATGATAGATCTATTAAAATATGGGATTATTAAACTAAACAATGTATACATACATTAGAAGCACATTAATAAAATATATCATCAGCAAAATTCCATCCAGATTTACCACTCATTATATCAAGTATTTATTATTTAATATTATTTTATAGCTGCTGAAGATGGAGTTATAAGATTTTGGCATTCAAATACATATAAATTAGAAACATCACTTAATTATAATATGGAAAGAGTTTGGAATTTAGATATAGGAAAAGATAATACATTAGCCTTTGGTTTTGATGAAGGAACTGTTGTTGTTAAAATTGGTTAAGATGAACCTATTGTATCTATGTAATAAGGTAAAGTAGTATATGGTAAGAATTTTGAATTCTTTACTATTAATCTCAAAGCTATTAATAATACATCAAATGATGGATAAATAGTATAAACAAATTCTAAAGAACTAGGAATTAGTGATATATATCCTTGTGGTGTTAGACATAGTCCTAATGGACATCTATTTGCTATATTTAGTGATTCTGAATATACTATTTATAGATCATAGAATTTTAAGAATTCTGGTTTCGGATCAGGTACAGATTTAATATGGTCATCAAATGGCGATTATGCTGTTAGAGAAATGTATTCAATCAAAATATTTAAAAATAATACTTTGAGTTATGAAATGAAAACAGATTATATGGTTGAATAATTATTTGCTGGACCTTTGTTGGGAGCTAGAAGTTCTGAATTTATAATATTTTATGATTGGGAAACAGCTAAAGTTATAAGAAGAATTGATGTCTCTCCTAAAAAAGTAATTTGGAATGACACAAATACTATAGCTGCTTTGGCAACAAATGAAGAAGTGTATTTCTTATAATATGATCCAGAATAATTACCAATATTTATATAATAAGAGGAAGAACCTGATGGATTTGAAGATTCATTCTAACCATTATGTGATATTACTGAATCTATTAATTCTGGTTATTTCATATAAGATGTTTTTTATTATACTACTGTGAATGGTAAAATAGCATACTCTGTTAATGGAAAAATTTTCATTGTAGATTAAGATAAAAGATATTTCATTATTGGTTATATCCAACAATAAAATAAACTCTATCTTATTGATAAAAACTATACTATTATTAGTTATGAAGTTAATAGTAATGTTGTTGAATTTCAAACTTAAATACTTAAAAAATAGTATTAAAAGGCAGAAGAAATACTATAAACTATTCCACTTTAATACTATGATAAATTATCTAAGTTTTTAGACACTCTTAATTTAAAAGAATAGGCATATAAATTAGTCTAAGATTAAGATCATAAATTTGATCTTGCTCTATAACTTGCCTTTGTAGATGATGCTTTCCAAATAGCATAACAAACATAAGATACACTTAAATTAAGATAAGTTGGTGATCTTGCCTTACAATAAGGAAGAATTAAAATAGCTGTTTAAGCATTAGAATAAGCAGATGATTTTGGAGGACTTTTATTAATTTATTCCTCTTTAGGATTGAAGAATCAATTATTATAATTAGGAGATAAGGCTTTTCAACAAACAAAAATGAATATTGCATTCTCTTCCTATTTCTTATGTGCCAATCTAGATAAATGTCTTGAAGTTCTTATTAAAAGTAATAGAATTCCTGAAGCTGCTTTCTTTGCTAAAACATATTGTCCTTCCAAAATTAGTTCCATTGTTAAATTATGGAAAGAATCTTTAGCTAAAACACATCCAATCATATGTAAAATGTAAACTATAAATCTTAGCCTAAAAAATTGCCGATCCTTTTGATTATCCTGCTTAATTCAATGATCTTAAATTAGCTATTAAAGTTGAATAATTCTATGAAAATATTAGAAAATAAGCTATTCCAGCTGATCAATTTAAATAAGTATTAATTTTCATTACTTTTATAGTTCTAAGAATTCTTGAATCAAGATCTATTTACATAATTACAAAATAACCCAAATTTGGATCTTTCACAATTCACTTATGGATCTGGTTGAGAATTATATAATGTATATCATATTATATATTTTATTAATTAATATGAGCATCAATCAATTAGATTATACATGTAATGATTTCAATCATCTATTGTAATTATTAGAAATTTAATAACCATACAATTTACAACTTTAACTCAAATAAGGTTTATTTTATCATTAATTTTAAGCTTAATTATTATACATTACCTAAAATTATGATTAAGCTAAGATTCTTTATGATAAAGCTCTTAGAATAGATCCAAACAACTTTTAAATATATATAGACAAAGGTTTCATTTATATTAATTAGTAGCTAAAACCTTATTATAATTAAAATAATTTAAAGAAGCAATTGAATGCATAGAATTAGCAGATAAGAGAAGTTCAAATAATCCTTTAGTATATCTTGCAAAAGGTATTTAGAGTAATTAAAAAAAGGACAAATTCTTGAATCCTTACATTAATCAGAAGAATCACTTTATGTTTATAATTAAGCTTTGAATTATGCTAGATACAGTCATGATATTCCTATTGCTAAAGGTTTAAATATCATATAATAGTAGCTAAACTTCTATATAAATTAAATAAATTTAATGAAGTTATTAATACTATGGATGAAGCTATAGCATAAGATCCATATAATTTAGATCTATTAACATTTAAAGTTAAGATGTTACTTTTAATGAATAATTTTTAAGAAGCTAAGATTACTAGTTTAGAAGTAGCAAAAATAGATCATGAATTTATGACTTCAAAATTTGATATATTATTTAAATAGAATTAGTTAAATAAAAAAAATTCATTTATTGAAGAAGATCCATTATAATCGTTTTATGGTTATGAGGTTTATTTTCTAAAGGGTTTAAATTAAAAATATTTTTATAGCTTTTGTTTTACATGGTTTATAACAAATCGATGAAGTTATTGAATGCTATGATTAAGCAATAGCAAGATTTCAAAATCACAAAGAAATCTATCTTGAAAAAGGTAATTTATAACTCAATTTATATAGCAACTTATTTAAATTAATTGTATAAGTTTGATCAAGCAATCAAATGCTACGATCATATCATTAATTAATTTCCTCTTGATTGTAATGTCATTTTAAAAAAGGGTATTAATGATTATAAGTTAATAGGTTAAAGCTTAATTTCTTAACATAAATATTAGATGGCATTGGAACTTTATGATGAAGCAATTGCAAAAATAGAAAAGAACTTAGATTTATTAATTGCCAAAGGTATTCTCTATGATAATGTGATTAGCTTAGCTTTTAGAAAATTTGCATCTTTATGATACAGCTATGACATGTTATGAATAAGCAATTAAATAATTTCCATATAAATTTGAATCCTATTACTATTAAGGTATTTTTATAAATAAATTTAGGCGAATTTTTAATTAAATGGAATAAGTATATTCAGGCAGTTGAGTCTTACTAGAAAGCTCTTTAATATTCTCCGAATAATCATTAAATTTACATAAAAATCAGTGAATTTTATATCTATTTGATTTAGTTACTACTTTAATTTAGATACAAAGAAAAGCAGAAGCTATTTCACTTTTCAAAGAAGCATCTCTAAAATTTCCCTATGAATTCAATATACAAATAATTCTATGTATAAAGATTTCATTATTTAGTCTCACAAATAATCTATTCAATTAATTTGTTTGAAGCAATAGAACATCAAAATCTGATTTTAAGACATGATGCTAATAACCATTTACCAAATTTAGCAAAAGGTATCAGTTTAATAGTTATATTTTAAGGCATTATCCTAGATTTTTAGGCTCATAAATAGGAAGCAATAGAACAAATAGATAAAGCAATTATTTTAAACCCATACTTTACATTTTCATATATAGAAAAGAGTAAGAAATTAATAAAATTAGGTAAATCGATATATAACATTTATGAAATAAATGAAAGTATTGAATGTTTAGATCAAGCTCTTTTGATAGATCCTTATAATTCTTAAATTTATATAGAAAAAAGTAAAGTTTTCGTAGATTGATTTATTAGCTAATATCTTAATTGATGCATCTAGATATGCTGAGGCATTAATTTGTTTAAAAATAGCAATGGAGAGAGCATAATATGATGAAAATATTGTTAAAATTCAAGGTACTTAAATATAAAATACTAGCTTAAACAATAAAAAATAGTGAATTAAAAATCAATATCATAGAGTGTTATGATGAAGCCTTAAAAAAGAATCCATACCAAATTGAATTATATTGTTGTAAAGGTAAAACAAAAAATTATAAAATATAGGATAAGTATTATTCAATTAAATGGAATATGAAAAAGCTATAAAGTATTATGATTAAGCCATTCAAATGAACCCATTTTATATTGAAGCATATTTATAAAAAGGTAATATTTTAAAATAAGAATAGCAAATCAATTACAGTAATTAAAGTAATATGATTAAGAAATCTCTCAATATGATATAGCAATATCGATAGATCCTACCAATTCTTAAGTTTACTAGAAAAAAGGTGAATATTTATTTATATGACAGCATTTTCTTTAGCAAATATAAATAGATTAGAAGAAGCAATTTAATGTTTTGATAAAGGAATTAAATATAATCCAAATAATAAAGAAATTTATTTATAAAAAGGTTGGAGTATTATTTCATATAATAGCTGAATTTTTAAGTATATATGATAAAAGAAAAGAGGCTATCTAATAATGTTTTAGTGATGAAATATTGGCATTAATAAATGATCCTTAACTCTATCATAAGAAAGGTAAAATCTATTAATACATAGCTTCATTGTTACTAAAAGAGGAGAAAGCATATGAAGCTATGCAATACTATAATATAATTTTAGCCAGATTTCCTGAAATGACAAAAAGTCTTAGATTTAAAGGTAAAAAAAGATAAAAATTTTGTTTTAGGAATTTGTTTATTTTTATAGTAAGATTTTAGAAAAGTCATTTAATATATAAGATTATTTTCAATATTAGATAATTAATCAAATTATTCAGTATAAGAGATTATAGAAAATTTTTGATAAATGATATATAATTTATAATTATAATTCATCTTAAGATAATAAATGTTGATATGAATTAAGGTTGAACTTAAAATGAATTAACTTAAATTTGAGTTTTGGTTTTGTTTAGTGTTTGCCAATCTATAATAAATAATTAAATTTAATACTTAATTTAGTAGATTACCATTCTTCAATTGTCATAAGCCCATTCATAGTAGTTTAATAATATTAAACACTTTTAGGTAATTAGAAATCAATGATACCAACTTCTTATAAGTTATGTATTCTCACAATGAAATATTGTTATTTGGGTTCAATTCTTATTTTAGATATTGAATCTTCATCTAAAACTACTATTTCATCAAGATAACTTTATGGAATAACTTTATTTTTTTAAATATTGAATTTTGAAAAGAAATCTTCTGCAAAATATTTAAGAGCTATCATATCTTCTCTTAATTAAATTTTTCTGGCTTTATTTGGATCTTAAGTATTTTAAAAAAAAACTAGTTAATGAAATAAAGTTTAAGATATTCCTTTTTTATTATTACATGTATTTGTTTTTTAACATTTTGGATCATCAATATCTTCTTTTAAGGCTTCTCCAACTCCTCTTCTATCATCAGTTCCAATTCTTCTATGAATCATTAATTCAATTTATCCTTTTTTTAAACTTGTACCTCCTTAAGATCTATCATTAATAATAGCTACTGTTTAACCATTAGTTTAATTTAACAATATCATATTAGTAACTGGATAATAATTTTATGAAACAGGTTCTGTATCTATTAAATTAAATGTTTCTCTATAATTTTTAACTCTCTTTTATAAATCTAATCCATTACTATCAGTATAAAATGTATCATTATTTTCAATATCTGTATCAATTAACATTACTATTTCTTTTCCTGATTTATTTATAAATTCAATTGAATCCAAAAATGTCTCTATTTCATATTCATCTTACAAATGTTTATATTTTCTTATTTTAGTAGTTACATCATTTCTTTTAATAATTAATTCAGTGACAATATCATCATAATGTATGGATGAATTTATAATGTTACCATAAGGATTTAATTATCCATCAGGTCTAAAAATATATGCTCCACTTGGTTATCTATAATCAGATGAAGATACATAATAAGCATAAGTTAATTTAAAAGTATTATTGGTTTTTGTTTAATTATTTAGAATTGTAGATAAATCAGTATCATCATTTATACTAATTTATATTCTTTTTGTATTAAATGGATGTTTATCAATAGATGGTATTATTTTATAAAATTAAGTTTCTTCTATATTATCTTCATCAATAATAAAATATAACACACAATCTTAATTATCACATAATAAAGTGTAATTGAGAGAAATATTATTTTCATCTAAGACTGTATAATGAAGATTAGGAACTGGTAATTTAATAATCCTATTTTAATTCATTAATAATGCTAAGAGTACAGTTTTATTTTAATTTAACCACACATCTAATTATTTACATTCAGAAATAGTTTTATTATAATAACATGTATGATATTCATAATTTTTATATTCCAATAATTATTCAGTTAATATTGATACATGTTTTCTCATGTATTAATCTAATAAAGTTGATGATTATTATAATAGTTTAATATAATCATCATTAACAAATTATTTTGCTGTTCCAGTAATTGCATCATGATGTTATACAATACCCATATTTTAATTATGATTAGATAATAGTTATAATAATTCATCCTCATCTTTTATATTATCATAAGAAATTTATTTGGATAAGAAAGTTTTTATTTATTAAAATTCTTTACTTAATTATCTCACATAACCTTTAAAACTAATTCTGGAAGTATAATAACCAGTCCAATAAGATTGATGATTATCTGAATATGGAAAAAAATCATCAAATTTTACAGAATATTATAAATTTTATTGGTTTAATCTTTTTAAATATTGATGAGGAGTTGAAAAATGAATTTATTATGTACCATTTTTCTAATTGATATTATCAATGAGTTTTTCAATATTTTTGTAATAACTTTCAGCAGATGACCATTCATTATCATCTCCTAAGGTATGTACAATTGTTTCTCCTTTATAATAATTAGCTTATTATCCAAAATATTCTAATAATTAATTAGCTTTTTAATTGACTTAATTAGATTAAATTTCAGGTGAAGATCTCAAAGGATCAAAATCAAATCCTGGAGGACTTGAATAATGTCTATAATTAATATGACAAAATAATTCAATCCCTGGTTTTGGATTCCATATAAATTCTAAATTTTTATTCTTCAATCTCTCCGATTTATCTATTTAATCAATTCTAGCAAAATATTATCCATCCATTCCCATCATATAAGATATATATGCAAATGTTGATGAATGTCCAAAAGGATCAATTTACCAACCAACTCTTGGAATAATTCTAAATTATTCATATAAATATGTATGACCTCCAGTAAATGAATCTATTATATCTTCATAATAAGTTGTGGCTTCATCATTCATTGACCATCCTCCAGCTGCAAACTCTAATTACCCATTAATGATTAATTTATTAATCATTTATTTTGTCTCAATATCCTATTCTTCATACCATTTTTTAAAATAAATTGTTTCAACCTACACAAATCTTCTTCCTGAATCTTTTGATAAAGCTGTTGAATATGATGATATTATATTTTTTACTCCAGGTCCATTATCATAGATATTCCATACAGTATCTAACCAACCAACATCATCATGTGAATGTGGTAAAAAATAAATCACCTTTGATTCTACATATTATAAATGTAATAAACAAAGCAATATAAACATTAATAATTTAAATAATTATTTTATATTCTAAATTTTACCTCTTCAATCATCATAATAACCTTTATAAAATTCATCTATTATCATTCTTAAGTGATTTTATTGATATAATTTACAAATCAAAAGACAATAAAATTTAAAATTAAATATTGATGTGTAGTTAATTTTTAATACTAAATAACTGATAGTGAATTAAATTATGTAATCTCATCATTAACATTAATTATCTACTTAATAGAAAACACAATTATTAACAAAATGGGACATAAATTATGATGGAATTATGATTTGATATCTCATACAATCTTTTTTATTGAAAGATCTATTTATCATTAAAGGATTTCTAATATATAACATAAATAAAACAAAACAAGAATATATTACATGAAGAATAATACTCAACAGACTCCAATTTCTCCAAAAATGGCCATGTATAAGAATGCAATGAAAAACAAACATAATCAACTCCCTTAATTAAGTGAACAGCTACAAAAGAACCAGAGTCTCGCTTAATTTCAGGAGTAACAACAAAGTTAAAGAAGTTAAGAATAAGGAAAATAAGATAAGCTACGTCCAAATAGTTCTTTTAGATCTTTAAAATTCTAAGATTTGAACATGCCTCATAATCCTATTGATGTCATCAAGCTGAAAGACATTCTAGATGGAAATAGAAAGGAAATGAAGGTCAAATAAGATTAATCTTAAGTTTAACATAAGAATTAGCAAGAAAAAAGCTTCACATCTCATAAACACCCTTAGGATGAAGTCTTAACAGAACAACAGAAAGTTGAAAAAAAATTCAATTTAGCAATAAAGGATTATAAACAAAATTTTAAAGAAAATGTAAATTTGGATCTTGAAACACCAAGGTTTTTTGGAATGCCATGATCAATAATACTTTATTGATAAATTATTTTTCTTACCAATTATAAATTTTTTATATTGTGTTTTCAACCTCTGTACAATGGCAATCAAACATTAATAGATTGATGAACCTTTATAATTGTTAAAGGGATTTAAAATACCATTACTTAATACATATTTTCAAGAACCTTACATATCTCCTTAAAATGCTAAGTAATAAATGAGTTCCAGGAGTAATCATCAACCATTTTTTGAATCCCCAACTACAAAAGCAATATCAACAAGTAGAGAATTTTATCGTTTTGAACCTTTAAAAGTTGAAAAAATACAAAAGAACAAATTATTAGAAGAAAGATCATTATCCCCAATAAAACCTAAAATTTTTGAAGATAACAAATTAAAAGGATTATTAAATATTGTTTCAGATAGAAATAAATAAATTCATTTAAAACAATATGACTTTAATGTAGGTGGATCAACTAGTAATACAAAAAAAATAAAGTTTAATTTTAAGAAAATAAATATTAAAATACCTTAAAAAATCCAATTTTCAAAAGAAGATCCTGAAAATAATAAGAAATTCTTAATAAATACTCTTCGAAAAAATTCAGTTATTCATAATTAAGTAGATATTTAAAGACCTGAGAGATCTAAATCTGATATTGAAAGAGTAAGATCAAAATCAAATTTAAAATAAGTTAGTCCATAAAAAGATTAATTAATTGATGAGTAACAAAAAAAGAAAACTGTAAGATTCAATGAATTGGTTGAAATAAGAATGTTTGATAGAATAAAATCTCATTTAATAAAATAGATAATGTGAATTATTATTAATTGACTAAAGTTTTATATAAACTTTCTATATTTATATTAAGTCTGAATGAATCCATAATCATTTAGAACTCCTAAACTATCTTACATCAAATCATATCAACAATTCTTGCTAAATAAAGCAAATATACCTTCACAAAAATCTCGTTTAAACAAGATTAAAATATATCAAACTATAAGATAAGAAAATATTTTATTAGGAATTAAATAAGGATAAGAATCTTGAATGTGATTATATATATTATGAAATTATTATTAATAATTACAATTTCATTTATTAAGAATATTATTAGTTTTTTATATACTTTGAATAAATAATTACGCATTATTGTAAATGAGAGTCACAAGAATGAAATAGTGTACTATGAGATATTATTTTTGTATTCTTTGATAGAGTATTGTAATTTCATAAAAATATTAAAGTAAAATAAAAAAAGATTATGCATTTATAAGTGTCAAAAATAAAAACAATTGAGCCAACTGTTAATTAATAAATGAATTTTTAAACAAGATAATTAAACAAAGAGCCAAAATCCTCTTACTAGTTGCATCGTCGATATTCTATAAATGGTGTTATTAATCAAGATGTTTGCAAAATTTAGGATAAATATTCCAAATAGTTAAATCAATTATTACACATAAAATATTAGAATATGCTTTAACTGTTCAAAAAGAAATAATATATTCAACCTAATTTTAAGTTAGACAATAAGAATTTTGAACATGTAGTAACAAACTAATTTAGAAAAAAGTAATCCTAATTTACTCCATTAAAAAAGAAATTCAATGGAAAAGAATGGCATAAATATAATTATGATAGATATAGATTGTTGAGTAGGTAAGGAAGTATTGAAAAATTAGAAACTAATCGAAATTAAACTATTTAACCATGTTTGCAAATCTCATAAGCAAATAGAGAATAGAGGTCTGTATCTCAAATGAATAATAATAGAAATGAATTAAATAAGAGTTTATATAATGACAGGTGGAAATTTAAAAGAAGCAATTCACAATAAAAAGAAAATCTTATTATTATTTTAATTGATGAAAATTAACACAATTAAAAACAGGACAGAATTGTTTAGATCGATTGAAAATAAATTTACTATCATTTTTTATTTATTTATAATTAATATGAGTTAATTAATTTCAAAAATATTTTTCTAAAACACTGTGTTAGTANTAAATAAAGCAAATATACCTTCACAAAAATCTCGTTTAAACAAGATTAAAATATATCAAACTATAAGATAAGAAAATATTTTATTAGGAATTAAATAAGGATAAGAATCTTGAATGTGATTATATATATTATGAAATTATTATTAATAATTACAATTTCATTTATTAAGAATATTATTAGTTTTTTATATACTTTGAATAAATAATTACGCATTATTGTAAATGAGAGTCACAAGAATGAAATAGTGTACTATGAGATATTATTTTTGTATTCTTTGATAGAGTATTGTAATTTCATAAAAATATTAAAGTAAAATAAAAAAAGATTATGCATTTATAAGTGTCAAAAATAAAAACAATTGAGCCAACTGTTAATTAATAAATGAATTTTTAAACAAGATAATTAAACAAAGAGCCAAAATCCTCTTACTAGTTGCATCGTCGATATTCTATAAATGGTGTTATTAATCAAGATGTTTGCAAAATTTAGGATAAATATTCCAAATAGTTAAATCAATTATTACACATAAAATATTAGAATATGCTTTAACTGTTCAAAAAGAAATAATATATTCAACCTAATTTTAAGTTAGACAATAAGAATTTTGAACATGTAGTAACAAACTAATTTAGAAAAAAGTAATCCTAATTTACTCCATTAAAAAAGAAATTCAATGGAAAAGAATGGCATAAATATAATTATGATAGATATAGATTGTTGAGTAGGTAAGGAAGTATTGAAAAATTAGAAACTAATCGAAATTAAACTATTTAACCATGTTTGCAAATCTCATAAGCAAATAGAGAATAGAGGTCTGTATCTCAAATGAATAATAATAGAAATGAATTAAATAAGAGTTTATATAATGACAGGTGGAAATTTAAAAGAAGCAATTCACAATAAAAAGAAAATCTTATTATTATTTTAATTGATGAAAATTAACACAATTAAAAACAGGACAGAATTGTTTAGATCGATTGAAAATAAATTTACTATCATTTTTTATTTATTTATAATTAATATGAGTTAATTAATTTCAAAAATATTTTTCTAAAACACTGTGTTAGTATTAAGAATACAGGGTTCAATAAATTCTTAATTGTAAGAAATAGATTTATAAATAATAGAGTAAGATAAATTTCTCATCAGTTGGAAAATTAGAATAGAGGAAGTGTAATAGCTTTAGGATTAATTATAAATTCATAAGGGGGATGTCCATATTAAGTAGAAGTGTTAAGTAAGAAAATCAAAAACTATTTAAATGGATTGCCTCTTTATACATTTGCAACTGAATATAGTTTAGGCAATGCTTATCAATTGTTATAATTGGGAAATAAATCATATGCTTAAAATACATCTAAGATTGGTTTTACATAAATGTACAAAAATAAATTAAATTTTGCTGAGTTTCTTTAAAATTATGGAATAAATGTAAAGATCTAATTTATTAAATATAGGCATTGTAATATTAATCAAGTTAAATTGTGAATCATAATTTTGTTATAAACTCATTAGTAAAAAGCAATAGTTAATAAGAAATGGATTATTTAGATCAATATTATGGATTTAAGACTAAATAGTTAACAGAGGAATGTTGGAAGAATAGAAGAGAATTTATAAAAATAAATAAGGAACAATTAGAGAATAATGTATTTTTAGGTAAAGAAGCAAAAGAAATTGGATTAGTGGATGAATTAGGTACTTATGAATAAGTTTTGATGTAACAGTATCCAAAAGCTAAGATTATTCCAATTAATACTGAAGGCAAATTAACAGAGTATGAGAATTGGTTTAATTTATTCATTAAAATATCATAATCAAGTATGTATGGATAATTGATTTATTTATAAAGGAGGTTTTTTAGGATTAGTGTTATTGTTTGGAATTAAAGTTATGGTGAAATGGGGATTGATAATTTATGTATGGAGATAATCTGTCAAATAAAGGAAATTAAAGAAGCTATAAGAATCAAAATAATGAGTTATTTATATCTATCAAAGAAATGTTGTTTAAAATTCATTGTTCTTAACTGTCCAACGTAAATGAAAATGAGCAAGTATCACATTAATATTCATCTTTTTACTTTAAATATATAAGATAAAAATATACTTTTCCTTTTGAAGTTTTGGTTTTTTATTTTTTTGTTATTCTGTATTTTTCAATTTATGCAACAGGTATAATTGGCTAGATCTTATATTATTAAATATTTGATTCACGTGTTTTGTTTTGAATATGACTATGTAAATATGATAGCATCATTATTAATAATGCAATTCTAATTTGAAATTGTGATTCAATACATATTGATTAGAATTATCATAAGGTCTAAAGTTTCTAAATTCATCAATATTAATTATAATCATAATAAAAATGAAATATTAATAATAAATGGTTTGATTATTGTCAAATTATACAATATTTCTCTCATTTTCTATCTCATCATTATTATAGATCAACAATTTAAGAAAATATATCTTAGAAAAAGATTAATTATCTTTTATAAAGTATTTTTAATTTTGATAGTACTGCTTTATCATTATTATCAAAACTTAATATCTAAATGATGCATCAATATTAAGTCAATGATTTTATTAGCTTTCATAATGTGATAGTCAATCATTTAAATATTGAAATTATTTTAATTAATAATCTTACTAAATTTATTGAAAAATAAAGAAGAATTATTCCTCAAATAAACATCTCATATATTAGTTCCTTAACTAGTATTAAAATATATCTAATTATTTTAATAAGTTAAAAAACTTAAAATATTTAAAACAATAAAATACTCAAAAGTCTTTGAATTATAAGCATATTTAAAATAGAATTTGGATTAACTTTTAATATTTATATTAGTCAATTATAAGAGTTTATTACTAATAGATAATTAAGACATACTTTTATTCATATTTAGACAAAATTGTAATAGATGAATAAATGTTGTATAAATTGAAAATGGTTTGAGTAAAATTATTTAGTCTAATAAATTCTACTAAGACCACATATAGATTTAAATTTATTATAAAATATTTGATATATTTTTTATATATTTTATATTATTTAACAATAAAATAAATGTAGAAAATATAAGATGACTAATAATTTATAAAAAATACAAAGAGCATGTAAAAGATGCAAGAAATTGCAGATAGATTAGCATCAACAACTCCTGATTTAACGAAATGTGAGTTTAAATTTAATTTTTAGTTATTAATCCTGAGGCAATCTTAAAACCGACAAAAATGTAAATTGATCTATAAGGTAAGAAAGGTGATCCAAATGATCCAAAAAATAAGAAAAAGTAAATCTAATAAAGTACTGTTATTACAAAAAATGAAATGACTGCATAAGATTGGATATTAAAGTGTTAAGAATTGTAAGCAATATTGGAAAAAGAAAAAATGAGAACAAATTAATTGGAATTGGAATTAAAAAATAGATAAGAAAGATTTGTTAATAGAGAAATTGAATATAGAAAAACAATAGAAGAATTATAATATGAATTAAGAGCTAAAACAGCTTTAGATTAAGGAGATCGAAAAATAATGGAGAATATTTATAAGGATCATAATAAGATTATTGAAGGAATTAATAATATTTAATTAAGAACATCAAAAATATTGGTTGATTAGGAGAGAGATATTATTCGATTTTTTAATAATAAAATTAATGAAATAAAGAAATAATTTGAAGAGGAAAGAATTAAGAAAGGTAAAAATGATTAAGAGTATATTGAGAAAGAAAATTAATTGATTAGTGAATTAGAATGGATTAAAAATATAGCTTAAAAAATAGATAATGAAAATCATTCTCTAATGTAAAAATATAAAGAATTAAAAATATAGTATTAGACATAAGAGAATGATAGAGAAATGCTATTAAAAGAGTTAATAATGAAAAAGAAAAAAAATGCGATTCTTAAATCATAAATATAATAATATGAGTAATTATTAAATGAAGTTTAAAAGGATGAAGTAGAATAGGATGATCAATCATTTGATTAACCATCTTATTAAGATATTGTAAGACCTGGAAGTAAAGCTAAAGTTAGAATTAGGTCTGTAAAGAATTCAGCCTAATCATAGAATAAATAAAATAAGGATGAATAATTATCAAAAAATCCATCTTAAATTCAATAATAATTATAAGGATCATAATCAATTTAATAAACATTATAAAGGTATGAGAAAACAATAAAATCTTTGTAATCAACATTAAAAAAGGAATAAAAGAGAGTGAGAGAATTAAAATAATTATATATTAAAGAAATGTAAAGTAAATCAGAATTAGAAGTAATATTAAGAAAATGTATAGATGATATTAAGGAAGAAATCATATAAATAAAAGGAGAAGCTAGAATATTCAATAAGAATAATAAAAGTAAATCTTATTGTAGATAATTTAGACAAATAAGATAATTTGGATAAGGAAGATAGAGATAAATTAATTCAAACATTATTAGATAATGAAAAGATAGTGACATTAATACATGATTAGATATTTTATGCAAATAAAAAGAAAGTTGATGTTGATGAATTAAATACATCAAAATAATAATAATAATAATAGCCAGAATAACAAAAATTATTTTAATTTCCTAATAAATAAATAATATAATAATAATCTTAATAAAAATAATAAGAAGATGAAGGATTTGATTATGGAGAGAATCCAGAAGATGAATTTTGATTAGTATAAATATTTTTAGTTATATGCAAATATTTATTCATTATATATTAATAGGTTTAAATGAATAATAATCTGTATTTCTTCTCTTATATTCTACTCTTCTTGTCATTGAAGTATTTCTTTAGTTATTATTATTTAATTCTAATTTATTCTTAGCATCTTAAGTTGTATTATTCATTTTAAGAAGGATATCTAAATGAGTATTATTTTAATGAAATGTTTTATTAATTTTATCTGTGATCTCTTTAAGTTTATTTTCATAATCCTCTTTTATAATTTTAATTATTGTTGTCTATGGTATTGAATAACTTCTATCTTATATGTTTACAGTATTTTTAGTTTATTCTTTAAGTATTGGAGTAGGTGGTTTATTTTCTTGATTAATCTTAGAATTATTAAATTATTAGAAATATTACTCAACTCTTTATAATTCAATTTTTTTATTAAATGGATCTATTATCTCTTTGAACTTAGTCCAATTTTAAAATTGCTTAGTATCTTATTTAGCAATAGGTAATAAAATCTAATTTTTATAATTTTAAGTGAATTACTTCTTCAATAAATCTAATGAATCCACTACATAATTATGAAATATCATCAGAACCCATTAGAGTTTAAAATCTTTGTTATGACATTGACATATAATTTTTTACTGTTAAATTTTATTTATATAATTATTATTTTAAGTTGATATAATTTGAATATTTCATTTCATCAAAATTATGCATATGGTTATTATCTATTTTAAGACATATCATTAAATCCACTTTATTATGGATTCTAAGTTCCAATTGGACCAGCTAATATAATAATTTATTATTTACCAACTTATTGTTAATTCCCTCTATAAGAATTTATTGCTACAATAGCTCCTACCTATAGATATTAAATTAATCATTATACTTTTAATAAGGCATTTACAATACTAATGAATATTACAAAGACATGGAGACCATGTAATCTACCCCAAACAGGATTATTTTTTTCTGTGGCTGTCCAAATTGATCCAACTGACAATAACCATATTAAATCAACCAAAATTAAGATTCCATTCAATACCATTAACTAATCATATAGCAATAAAATGATTACCATTAAAGAATTAGCTTTGTCATCTCTTGAAATCCATAAATAATAGCAAAAGAAAGCAAATGGAAAATTAAAATCTGTTCTGATTAAACAGGCTAATACTGATAACCACTTTCAAATATTATTCATGTATTCTTACAGCAATCGATAAGAAAATTAACTCTATTATTTTACTTAATTTCTTTGTATCCATCTCTTCTTAATTTATTCAACTATTTATATTAATTCAAATAATATTAATATTTTTAAATATTAGACTGTTATATATTATTATCAATATATACACAACATTATTAATTCAATCTTATCCTAAAAATAGTATATATTATGAATAATCAATATAAATATTTAAGAAGAATAAGAAATTTTATGATGATCAATAATTTATAATTAAACTATATACATTTAGTTTGCATTAAAAAAAATAATAAATTTATATAAAATATATATTATGTTCCAAAATATTATTTAAATTCTTTTTTATTGATATCTTTTTATTAAATATAAAATTCCATCTCACTCTAAGAAACCATTACTCAAATCAGGTATCTCTTCTAATTCTATTTATTCATCAACTGATAAAAGAAAAGTTGGATAATAGAATGTCTTTCCACATGTTACAAATGCACTAACAGGTTTACTACAATCACATGTTCTAGGTTTCATAGCTTATGTGAAACAAGTTCTTAATTCAGCAATATAAAATTTACCAGTTGATGCTTAATTAATAAATAATAATATTTACAATCTTTTTAACATGTATATGACATTGCTGTTGATATTCCTAATACTTTAGTAAATGCTGCTCTAACTTCACCATCTGTTAATTATCTATCATCATCTGGATAGATTCCAGCTGATGCTAATATTTTATAATAATTATATTGATTATTAAGATTTCCAACTCTTGACATATAACCATTTTATGAGAGATTATCTGGATGACAAGTTCCATGTTTCTCCCATTCATGTCTACATAATAATTACAATCAAATACTTTCTGAATGTGAATGTATCTGAATACATACCATTCCAAGTAACATCAATTAATGTCTTAGTAGCAATTGTTAATTTATCTTCATCATATTCTTCATCTTTGCAATTGAATATCATCCCACAACTAGTTTGTAACATTGTATTTGGCCATAATCCATGTGTATTCCATCTAGCATTATCATAATTTCCCATATATGTTTTTGTACACTTTTAAAATTTGCAAATAGATCCTGGCCATTCTTAAGCAAACACATACATATATCCTAAGATTTCATCATTTTATTGGCAATATGCCTAATTAATAATATACAGCAATAATAAGATTGTTGTTTTCATGGTTATCAAAAATTATTATAATAAATTTATATAAAATCAAATATTTCAAAATAATTAAAATAACATACTTTTGTAAATGATACTTCTAAATTAAAATGATATATATTTATAATTTACTAGTTAGGATGAATTTATATCTCTTAACTAAAATCATTATTAATGTTAGAATTTCATATTACTTATATATGAACAAGGATTAATTAATATATATTATGTAAATTTAGTTTGTTATTTAAATTATAAAAAGATTTTTATGATTCTAATACTCCTTTTTTAAAAGATTAATTATTCTGAAATATGATAGTAAATCTTTAAATAGAATGAAGTTTTTAGTTATATTAATTATTTAATAAACCTAAATTAATAAGCTATTAAATAATTAATATTCCTTTGATTTGAAACATCTTGTAAATATATATTTTTATTTTATGTAATAATATCATGCTGTTGCTTTTTTAATAAATGTACGTTATGCTGCTCTTCTAATTTTTCCTGCATATCTTCCAGCAACTGTATCAGCATCTTTAACATCAGCCTTATCAAATTAATCTACTTTTGCTTCTTTTCTATCAACCAAATCCATCAAATTGATTTCGCATGTGTTATCACTACTTTAGATTTAAATTAATTACGGATTAACAAAAACATAGCCTCCCAAATGCAAAAAGTCACCTGTGACTCCTTTAACATCTTAAGTGAATTTGATTTTTAAAGGGCCTGGAGGTAATATGTATACTGCAGCAGGAGTTCTATTTTGAATAATAAGAGCTGCCTTGTGAATTTATTAGAAATCACTATTACTTCATTTGTTTTAGCCACAATTCTTGAGAAACCATCAAATTTATCTAATATAGTTTTATATGGAGTTCTAATTGTCAATTCCATTTTAGCTTTCTTTGCTGTACTGAAAAAAACCTAATTTTTCAAGGCAAGTCCTATTACACCATTTGTGATCCTATTCATAATTTATTTTATTTTATTTAATTTTTATATCTATATTTATGAACAAAGGGATAAATAACAAAAAACAAATATTTTAAAGAAACTTAACTAAATTGATTGGTATTCAAAATAAAATTACTAAAAATGAATTTGATTTAAATTCTAAGAAAATTGCTAAAATGAATTTGTTTATGATTAGAATATGTAAATGAAATTTAGAACTTGTAATGAATTTAGAATTAGTGAACATTTCAATTTAAAGGTATTGATAATTGATTTATGGTTTGGTAAGTGTCCTAATGTGAAGGATAGTTATTTTATAAATATTGAATATGATATCTAATCAATTTGAGTGATATAATACTAATTTTAGATATTATATTGACATACCTTATATAAATAATTAAATCATTATGATAAGATATAGATATTAAAGAGATGAAGAATTGATATAAAAATATGATTAATAAGATCAAATTTATTTTATTTTTGATTATAATAATTATTTAATATAATTGTAAATGGGAAATAAGGAAGGAATGTGTTGTCTTTCAAGAGAGAGGGAGAATCATGTTTTGAATAATGAATTAGTTATATTTAGGGAATATATGAATGTGAAAATAACAGTTAAATTGGGTGATATCTAGAAAGAATCTGGAGAAAGTGTTAGTATGTTTCTGGTTTATTAATAAAGTTTGTTTATATACAAATCCAGATAAAATACCGTTATAACAAAATATCATACAATAGATTTATGACAATTTAAGTAGAAGTATAAATTATACTAATCTTTTAGTTTAGTATGAATAAGTGTATAGTCAAAATTTAGAAATGAGTAATTATAAGTGTATAACATATTATAGAGTAAGAGTTTTTGAAGTATTATTATAAACAAATATATTTAGTCAGAAAAAGATTTATTCCAATATTATAACGGATTTAGAGAGTGGTAAATAAAGTTTAAGTATTTTTTTTAGTTTATAATAATTGAATGATGAAGAATATAAAGATATTCTTATATGTGATTGTCCAATCAAATAAAGTAGAGCATTTAGTTCAGAAGTATTGGTTAGATCAGTGATTGAGTAATTAATAATTTAATAATGTGTAGTTTTATTGATGAATCAAAAAACAGATTGAATATTAAAAGTATAACTATGATGAATTATGATAAAAAGAGTGTAATCTATGATAATTAATAAAGAGTCTCGTTTTTTGAAATATGAACTCATTAAATAAATAGAAGAATCCAAAGAACCAATATTAAGAAAAGAGAGATAGAATAAATTTATGAAATTTATTACTTCTACTAAGAGTGTTACATCTGATATGGGAAGATAAAATAAATGTGATTTCAGTTTGAAAGACTTTGATCTAGGAGATGAATCCAAATTGATTCAAGCATTAAAATAAAATGAAATAGAAGAATAATGAATAATGTAACTATTATTATAAATAAATTGTGTCAAAATACTCTAGTTGTATTCTTTCAATTTTTTAATTTTATTACAAAATTATCAATATACTTAATATATATATATATAAATAATAATAATATGAATAGAAAGAAAAATACAACATCAGTTCCTACATTACCTTAGAGTAAAGTTAATCAATCATATTTGGCTCCTCCTCCATAATAATTGAGTCCAAATCAATCTTATTCTACATTTATCCCTCCTGAACCAAAATTTGATCCAAACGATTATATAACAGGAACAACAACTAAGAGAGATATCATTTTATATAAGGAAATATTTGATTTTTTGGATTCAAATAATAATGGAGTTATTTAACCTATGGATTTAAGAAAGGCATTTGCAAGTGCTGGAAAATATTAACCAAAAAAGTAAATTATTTATCAAATGATTGCTGACTTTGATTAAGATCAAAGTGGTATTATTGAATTTAGAGAATTTGTAAGAATGATGTCTATGAATCCTGGAGAAAAAGATACAGATGAAGATTTTGAAAATGTCTTTTATCAATTTGATTTAGATTATAAAGGTACTTAATCAATTTAATTAAATAGGTTATATAACAATAGATGATCTTAGAGAGTTAGCATCAGAATGTAATGAAAAATTAAAAGAAGAAGAATTATAAAGTATAATCTAGGCTTGTGATCCTCAAGGAAATGGAACTATTAGAAAATAAGCATTTATTAGGTATATGAAAAGTTTACAAAAGAAAAGATGATGATATTATATAAGAATATAATACATTTATTATTTATTATTATTTTTAAATATGGGATGTGTTTGTGGATCTAAAGAACAAACTAATGACAATTATCAAAAGAAATCTAATAGTACTTATATACTTTAATTATTAGAAACATAAACTAAAATGAAAGGAAAAGGAATTTAGATTGGGGGAGGTGATGAACAATTTTAAAATGCAAATTAAAATGTTAAAAAATTAATTATAAATAGGAATTAATAGCTTAAGCTGCAGAAAAAAGATTATAAAATTAAGAAAGAAGAGGTATGAATCATGCAGCTTAGATTGAATATGAATTTAAAAAGAAAAAGTTAGAAGAAGCAGAACAATATGAAAAAGAAAGAAGAGGAGAAAATTATAATCTAAGATGGAATTGATAATATATTATTTTTTTATTTCTTAAAATTATAGAAATTTTTCATAACTATTATTAATAATCTTCTTATAACTTTTTATTACAAATTATTATTATTTTTTATATCATTATTTAAGCGTATGAATCACACATTTAATCCTTAATGTATTTTCATGTAATTATTATTACAATAGTTATAGTCTTATTCTTTCTAAAACTATAAATATTTATATAATGTTTAGTATCTATAGTTCATTTAAAAATGGATTTAAATCAGACAAAAACTATAATCCTTTTTCATCTAAAATATAATATTAATTATCAATTTCAAATTAAAAATAATAACTTTATAATAGATACTTTCTTTTTATAATGTACGTAAATATACAAATCTAAAATTCATTTGAATAAATCATTTTCCCAATAAGTCTAATCAAATTTATATACTCGTGAATAACCACCTTCTTCTCCAGTAATAAATCCTTTTCCATCAGGGAAGAATGCTAAAGCATTAATAGGTCCAATTTAATTAGGATCTTTAATATAATGAATTTATTATACTTAATAATTTTCCTACTTCCTCTTCATATATGACATTGCAAATATGTATATCAAATCCTTAAAATTTGGTTCTGGCTGTTTCTCTTGCTGGAATACCACCAGCCACTATCAAATGAGGTTTTGGGTTTTTTTCATTATTAAATAATGGTGAAATTGCAACAGCATTCATGGGAACTTCATATTTGAAATACCTTAATAATTATAAAGTAGCTGGATCAAAGATTTTACATCCATCATTAGCAGCTGTAGCCAAAATTGAAAAATCTTTAGCAAATGCAAATTATTTAATTTCTCCATCATGTACTTATACTCTTCTTATTTCCTCCTCTAATAATTATTTATACTAAAGATACTTTATGGATAAGATAATAATAAGAGTTCTCCTTCAGTTGATGCCATTACTATAGATTGATTCAAATATCCCCAACTTGCTTGAGTAGTCTTAAATTTATCTGGAGTTACAAGAGTGTCTGTTATTTCTAATACATCTTATGTTTATCTCAATTTAATTTTATCTAAGATTTCTTGCACTTTGATTATTCTTGTCTCATAATTGATTGTTGAAGTCATTGGTTAATATACCTATATATTATGCATCAAATCTTATTACAATAATTAAATTTTCATCCCCATAAGAAAATTCTACCCATTTGGCCTTTCTCATATCAGCTGTTAATTTACCAAGACTCTTTCCTCCATTGATTTAAAAGAAATCAACAGAACCCTTTTAAATTTATTAGTAATCTTTACTTCCAATGAACCACTCACTAATAATTCACTATTATCTGTTAAATCTAATGTTTTAACTGCACCACTTGCTTTATAATTTCCTAATCTAATTTATGATTTATCTAATTAAATACCTTTCACCTGTCTCTGTCAACCAACAATTTATACCACCATCCTATGAGGCAGTAAAGAATAAATCTCCATCATAATTGATTTTTACAGTCATTATGGCTCTGTCTGTACCTCTGACATGAAAAGGCCTCATTTAATTAATTTAATTTATGGAGGAATAAGAAAATAGATAACATAAAAAAAATGAAAAGCTTGAAAAAAGGCGTAAGAAAGAAAAAGAGATTAAAAAAAATAAGAAGAAACAAAAAAAGGAATAACTCTTACTTAGAGGTGAAAAGCGTTCCAAGTTCTTTGCCTAAAAGGATAAAAAAGATAAAAATTTTATTGATAGACAAAAGGTTCTTAAAACATTTAAATTATTCCTTAAAATATATTAAGATGATTTAGAAGACTTTTTTTAACTCTTTAAATAATTAGATGAGGATAATGTAATTGAAACAGCAGATATTGAAAATCCCAATATTAGAACAACATTATAAAAATTCATGAAACAATTATAATTAAAAAATAAAGGAACAGAATAAACACCAATTTTTAAAAAATAATCTGATATTAAAATGGAACCTTATGTTAGAGGTCTTTATGATTAAATCATCTAAGAAATCAATTAATAAAAATAATAATCTGATTTTAGTGATCATGAAACAAGTAGAAGTTAATCACCATAAAAATAATAATAATATAAAGAAAAATAAGATAATTAAAAATAATAAATATGTGATAAAGAATAAAATCTTAATAAGTAATAATTAAAAGTTAAAGAATTAAAAGAAGAAGTTTATTAAGATAAAAAATACAATAGAAATTAAGTAAGAAATTCTCTATATGCTGATTTTGAAATAAAACCAAAAAAGAAAATAGAAAATAATCAATAATTAGATTCATTTTTGGAAGATCAATTTTCAAAAGTAGAATAGAAAAAAATTCCTTTAAAAGATGAAAATATTAAAAAGAAAACAAAAATTGAAACTGACACTCTAATAAATTAATCTAATCAAATTTAAATTAATATTAATGAAAAGAAATAAAAAAACAATTTTATATGTATTTATTTAATATTATTTATAAGAAGAATAAATTATTAAAAAAGATTACAATCGATAAACTAACCTAAATTAAGAAAATTAAACAAAAAATAATGTTTTTATGGTGTAAATTTAAAATTAGTTCATTTGATAATATAATGCATATGAATGTCTGTGTATATTTATTTTCATTATTCATTTAACTAATTATGATAAATATTTAATCTATTGAGGATCTAATGATTAGAATGTTTCTCTCTTATAAAATTTTGCACTATTCTTAACAAATATCTTATTATTTGGAGATGAAAATGTTTTATCAACTATAAGTAATTTATTTGAATTTTAAGTACTTGTTGGGGAAGGCATACTTTTTTTATTAGAATTTTGAATATAATTGAAATAATGATATATTTATTCTTTGAATAATTATTCTATTTTATTTTTGTATTGCTATTCTAAATTTTAATACACTTTATTTATTTATTTTATCAATAAAGATATTTATAATAAATCTCCATATTTTGTACTTATTTTAACAAAGAATCCTTACATAATTTATTCAAATTCATTGCTTAATTCTTCTGGAACTAATATGAAAAACAGAAATGTTATAATCTAAATATAAAAATTAAGAAGAGTTTAATCTTATTCATTCAATTTAATTGAATATTCTGATTATGATTAAGATGTGCTCATTCTACAAGGTAAATGTTATTTTAAACTTTAGATCTCCTTAATAACAGTATTAAATTATTCTTCTTTTGATTCCATATTTAAATTAAAATCAATTAATTTTTTTTGTAACATTTAATTTATACCTTCACATTCATTAATATCAATTTATAGCTTTTTAATTTATTATTATAAATTAGAATTTTCATTTTAATACTTTTCCATTTTTGTTCTTAAATTGATTTCTAAATTTTATTAATTAACTAAAATATCTTGAACTTTTCTTAGATTTTTCAAACAATCCTAATATTAATCAATTTATTAGATTTGTATATCAATTAAAGATTCATTATATATACTATTTTCACCATTTAATCCTATAATATCTTTTAAGATTTAATTAATTTATGAAAGTTAAGGACTTTAACTTGTTTTAAATTACATTGTTCTTACATTATAAAATTCTTATAATTATACAATTCTTTATTCATAATATTCCTTCTATAATTATAATTCTTATATCATTTTCTTTTATTAATGATTTTATTAACCTAATTCATCAATTTATTATTTATTTTAATTCATAATATGACAAGATCTTTTTTTTAATAAGATATTCTTCTCTTTTTCATGTTATAATAAAGATGTTGTGTTTTATATGAAATTATATTATAATTTTTCTATAGCCTCAATAAAACATTATTTAGAAGTGTCTAGATTCTATTAATCTTAATATAAATAATTAATACCTTTTTAATTTAATTGATATTTTGTGAATATTATTCAATAAAAAATGAGCTATTAAATGATTTTTAATTATTATCAACTAATTAATTTAAGATTCTAATATATAATTCTTATTCTTATTTAGATTCTGCAATTAATTCTAATCGATATCCATTTCTTCCTTCTATTGCAAAGAAAAACTCTTCATTAAATTATTTAGGAATTGTAAAGTTTTTCTTAAATAATTTATATCTATGATTATAATAAATGAAATTACTTTTAATAATTAGTGTGTATTTAAATTATCTAATCTATTGGAATAATTTATTTAGATGAAGGAAATTTAGATGATTTGGATTTCCAACATATTGCATTTAAAAATGGACAATAAAATATTGTTCTAAGGGCTGTTTTTTTGCTGTTAGATCTTGAAAATTTAGTAAAAGTAGTTCCTTTAACAATTTGTTGAAATTCTTAAAAATAAGATTAAGTTTTTTATTGTAAATTGATACAAATTTCAAATTATGTTGCCAATTATGTTATTTGATTATCTATATTTCTTATTTCTAGAATGTAACTATCATCATAATACATAATTCTATTTTTTAGACCACTTGAGGATCAACTTTATATTGTTCCTTCCATATTCTGAGTTCTTATTCTAATGATTATTCTAAGATGCTGCTCTTATCAAATATCTATGAATCAATAGAATAATCATTATAGACTTTAATGTCTGATATTTTAGATACTCCTAACATTTGATTTCTAACATTAGGAGTTAATTTAATTGAATTAGAATCATTTACTGAATCATCTTGATATTTCTTTTGTATATTTTTCTATAAATAATGTTATTTGCTTGGACACTAGTAATTATCTAACATATTTTTTTAATTTTAAATTATAATATAACGAATATACTGATTATTACAACCATTTAGAAATTAAATTATATATTTAAACACTTAATAAATCAAACATAATTGATAGCACTTTTAGTTCTATGTGCAAATCTTCTTCTTCTATGTCTAAAAACAACAGGTTCTTCTACTTCTTCTTTGAATTTTGGGGAATTAGTTATAATTGGTTAATTAATAAAATTATTATTATTATTAAGATAAAGATTATTATTATTATTATTATTATTATTATTAATATTATTTCCATCATCAATTTAGAATGTATAATTTCTTATATGTCTTACCAATTTTGTTATACTCTATTTTTTCATTATTTTTGTATCAGATTATGTAAAATTTTTCTTAATGATATTATTATTATTTTTTGGGGAATAAAAATTAGGAGTTTTATCACATTAATTAGAATTCGTTGAATTTCTTTCTTCTTTTGATTATATAGAATCATCTAAATATTACAATTTTTCACTTTGCTCTATAATTCTTTATTAGAACTTTGATGGGACAATTAAATTAGATTGATTTATCTTGTTTTCTTGATTAAATGTTTTAGCATTATGTACTTTATTATTGAATAAAATCAATTATTTTTTAAGTGCTAGTGATGGATTTACTAAACTTTTCATAGATTTTATATGATAAAATGCCTTCTCATATTACCATTTTTTTGTATTTATTAAATATGCTATCATTACAGCTGCACTCCAATTTAATCCATTCTAACAACATATTAATACAGAAGAACGTTTGATTTCGTTTTAAATCAGTTAGCAAGTCTTTTCAAAAGTCTTAATTGCCTCTCCTACGTTATCATCTACTCTCTAGATAATTTTATCAATACTACATGATAAGTAGCATACTCTGTAAATTTAGTATGATTTTATTATCCAACAACTATTATAGTTCTAATGTTCTTTAATTTGAAGTATTGAATAGATTCTAAAACAAGAACATTCCCTAGGTAGATTTTGTGGAAGCGTTCCTCAAGTACTGTAAAGAGAAAAGCTTAGTTAAGCATTGGGGAATGTGAGCCAAATAAATGATTATTATATTTCTTAGATATTTATTTATAAGGCAAATAATACGTAATAGGAAATCGTATCATATTTCATGTTTTGGATTTAAATATATTTATGATGTCACATTTCATAATAAAGAACATTATTAAAGACAAAAAAGTAGTATTAGATTATGTTAATGAAATTATATTATACTGGGATAAAAATAATTATCTTACAAAAAATATTCTAAATGTATTAAATGAGTTTGGATTCTTAACAATCTATATAAAAACAGAAATTAGGTACATTAATATTTCATTATTAAATTTGAAATTGTATTTGATCATTTATCAATGATTATGATATCAGATGTTCTATCTTTTGAGGATATTAACATTAAGAAAGATTATGTTATTTTTGAGGAACATGTTTAGGTTTAGATCTTGGTAAGGATTATTTCTAAGGTTAAATTATAATTTAATTATTAAAGATTGTAAATAATTTGGATAGTAATTCTCTATATATTTTAATGATTATTGTTTATATTGATAAGAATTATGAGAGATTTAAATGTTCATATATGAGAGAATAAATGAGATAATTTGTATGATTATAATAAGTATATCTATTAAAGTGATGGTGTAAATATGATATTTAATATTAAATTATCACAAATGAGTATCAATGAATAATTGTTGCAAATGGTGACAGACGTAAGTATTTAGAAGGTTATGTAGATTTGCAGCGCACTTAGATAAGAACCAGCTGTGACTAAGGAGTAGAGTACATAGGAGATTCTTAATATACTCAAACTTCACATATATATACTACTCGAATTAGTATCTCAAAATAAAAGCCTCGAATATGATGAATTAGAGAAGGCTGTTTAAAAAGCTGAAGCAGAAATTCGTTCTCATGTTAGGGTATCTAAGTTAGCATAATTGTAGTTAGAGTAGTAGATGAAACTTTATGCTGATAATCTCTAAGAGAAGATTGAATAGCTCGAATAAGAAAAATAATAAATAGAAGTACAATAATTATAATATTCTTTAAAGTAAGATCGTAAAGCATCAACTCTACAATTAAATTTCTTATCCTCAAAAGAAATGGAAAAGAAACCATCTAATTAGTCTTAATAAAGAGAAGGAAGTCCTAATATTATTAAGAAATCTTATATTATGGGTAATCAGATCTATCATCGTTAACATCAATCAAACTTGATCACTTATTAAGATTAATAAATACCTAATAAAAATACATCTTAAGAACCTATCAATCGTGAACGTAGAAGTGCTAACACTTAACATATAAGTTATATTCCAGGCAAAGGATTACCATTAAAAAATAATGCCTCTAATCAAAATAATACTATCCATAATCCTCCTTCAAATAGAAAAGATGACAGAAACAAATCACAATCATCACAAGAAAGGATCATTGATAAAAGCCAATCATTATTAAAATCATAGAATAGCTACTCTTATATTAAAATGTACAATATCTAAAAATTAATTATTAATAAAAATTAAAATGATAATACTAAATAGGCTACTTAATAAACATAATAAACCAAAAGGTAATATTTAATTAATATTATTTTATAGCAAAACCATTCATGGAGTATGTAACAACATTTTAGATGAATCTCATTATAAAAAGAAATGATAAAAATATTATTGATTAATTCATTCTTCAGTCCATTTTAATCTCCTACCTTAATCCCATATTCCAAATTTAGTCTTTCCATCTGGTAATATGTATTTTCCTTTTCCATGTTATTTACCATCATACCATTCTCCAACATATTATCTCCCATCTGGCCACTTATATTTTCCAATCCCTTATTTTTTATCATCTACATAAGAACCATGATATATTCTCCCATCAGCCCATTAATATACACCTTCTCCATGCATTTTATTATTTTACCATGACCCTTTATATATTCTTCCATCTGACCAATAATATTCTCCCTAATTACATCAACATAATAATCATTACATATCCATTTATCTTATTCTCAAACCAATCTCCTTCAAAATAACTCCCATCTGGCCACATATACTTTCCTTTCCCTTATTTTTTACCCTCAAAATAATCCCCTTTATAACTAGATAAATCAGACCCTAAATTTATTAATTTAAATTTATTACATTTCTCCTCTCCTTTTCCATGTTATTAATCATTTCGCCAATATCCTTCATATACAGCTCCATTGCTTTATCTATAAACTCCATAACCATTGGCTCTATCATCTGCCCATTCTCCAATATAAGAATCACCATCTACATGATAGAAACTACCTTTTCCACAGGCTTTATTATCAACCCATTCTCCATCATATCTAGCTCCATCAGGCCAAATTTAAACACCTTTTCCATCTCTTTTATTTCCCACCCATTCTCCTTCATAAGTGGCACCACTTTTAAATACAAAAAGTGGTCGTTTCTCCCTAGATTAAACATTATTCGTATTATTCACTATTATTTTAATAATTTCTAATAATACTTCCAAATTCTAATGAGTTAAAGTATTTCTTTTTATCCTTACTGGCTACTGTAGCTTAATCATTTTATTATTATTATTATTATTATTGCTTTTCATTTGCTTTTTATGACTCTGATAATGATTTTTTGACTTCTTTATAACTTTCTCTAGCTTTATGAGCTTTCCAATTTTTCTATATCACAATTGCCTTATCATTTAGTTTATTCTGTTTATTTTTTTCTTTCTCTTGATCATCTGAGAATACCGAAAACTTTGTGTTCTTTTATTCTTTAGGAGTGCACTTTGTCTACTTTAAATCATTCTTTCAATAAATTTCAATTTAATTACACCATCGATTAAACTGTTCGATGATTATTGTGAAAAGGATGATACTTTATGACTTTCTGACTTTTTAGTCACTTCTACTTCGTTATTTAATTCCATTTTATCTTTTTAACATTAATTACAATTTGAACAATTAGCTCCCATTCTAATTTAACTACTTATAATATAATAATTGTAATATTTCTAAATATAAAATGGTTACACAATAAAAATTAAAAAATCATTATTATACTTATTTTGTCAATAACTCTATATCTAAACCAGTCTTACTAATATCAATCATATTACGATTTCTTTTATATTAAGTTAAAAATATTACTCTATGTAAATTTTAATGGCAGCAATAAATGGTGAGAAAGAGATAATCCATCCAATCAGAACAACATAAATTGAATAATCAAGAGAACTTTTTATTTAAGAGATAATTGATATTATTAGTAATACAACAACAGTATAATGACATAATTTTGTTAATGAAAATTCAACTAACCAAGGTACATGATTACCATATTTCTCTAAATCTATCTTAAATTATTCAAATCTCTCCTTTGATCCAAAATAAAATACTTCAAATAATACTCCTAACATAAATGAAAGATTAGTTCCAAAAGTATCAACAAAACTTAATAAATAAAATCCAATATCTGTACAATAAATTAAACCTATCATTCCTAAAATACTGCAAACACATAATCTAACTTATTAAACAGTTAATTTATTTCCAAAAACTATCACTTCTCCTAAATAAATATCTTCAATTGTTCCTGCAATTCCATCTACAAATCCAAATTAAGTATCAATTCCCAATAATAATAATACTAAAAAGAATAATATACACCATAAATTTGGCATTGGCATCTAAGCTAAAATTGCTGGATATAAAACAAATGCCAAATCAGGACCAGATAACTAATTATCGTTCTCATAAATACAGGTAATTATTAAATTGAAACATTATATTTAAAACTAACATGTCCAATATAACTGAATACGACCAAACCGGCTAACATTCCACATAATGCTGTTAATATTGGAATAGCAAAAGAAAAATTAGGTAAATTATCTTCTTTCTTTCTATAACTTCCATATAAACAAAGTATAGCTTATCCAACTGACATTTAAAATATAACTTAATTTGCAGCATCTACCCAAACTGATGGATTAAATAATTTAACAAAGTCTGGTTTAAATAAATAATAAATTCCATCTATTGAACCCTCTAACATTAAACCTCTTATTAATAAAATCACTAATAAAATATAAGGTGAAGTGGCTGTTACTATAGCTATTTTTCCTGAAGTCTCAACTCCTTCTCTAATAAATTTAATATTAAATATATATACTTTATACAAAAGTATACTATTATTAATGATACTATATAAGCAATAAACAGACTCCAAATTACATGATCTAATATATTACAAATTTAAATTACTTAAATCTGTAATAGAAGTTGACATCTAAACTATAGAATCATAGAAATAATCTCTTGAAAATGGTTTATTCTATTCAACAATACTCTCTAACCATGGAATAGGATATTTAAATGATTCCCATAAATATCTCAAAGAATATGCCATTATTAGATTCTATTAATTATTATATTATTTACATAATATGTAGATATATATGCACAAATTACTATTCCGACATATCCAAATCCTCTTAACTTAGGTTTTTCTAAATCTAATAAATGTGCCATTCCAATCCCTTTACATTATCCTAAACCTACTTCTAAAAAAAATAATGGAATAGCTAAAGTAAAAACCAATATAAAGTATGGTATTAAGAATGTCCCTCCTCCATTCTTAAATACAACTAAACAATAATTTATAATTAAATTTATACGATATGGAAATCTCCAAACACTTCCAAAACCTGCTGCAAATCCTAATGATGTAAGCATAAATGTCCATGAACTTGAGAATTTCATTCTGATTTCCTAATATCCTTCTAAGCTTTAGCTAGATGGTTACATTAATATATAGTAATAATATTATTATAATGCATTTTAACATTAAAGAAATTTTAATCATTTTTAGTATTCAATTTAATTTATATTATTCAAAGATGTTCTATATTTTATTTTTATGTAATACTATTTTATATTAAAAAAAAAAAAGCAATAAATATTAAATCAATTTTCAGAAAATGCATATTGTCATTATATATATATTTCTTGATTGAATCAATTTTCATAACTTTATATTTTTGGATTAAAATCCTATGCTAACTAAAGACATTCAATTAATATTTACTTTTTAAAATAGATTGTTTAATTCATCAAAAGATTTTATAAAATCCTTAACACATAACTCCTACTCAGAAATAATTGGCTATACTATTGGATTATCTGCATCAGACATTTAATAATAGGATTTTCTTTTCTTATCTCTCGAAGAACAAATTCCCATCAAATTTTTTATATTATAATTATAAAAATAATATTTAGATTTATTTATATTTATAAAATCTGAATTTCTTATATTAATTAGATATAAAAGGATATATATAGGATTATTAATCATTTAGTATCATTCAACAAAAATGAAATAGAAAATACTTGATATTTAACTATTTTAATGAAAAATAATATTAAACAGATATAATTTTTAAGGATTAATAAATATTTGAATCAAATTAATTATTATAATAATGAAGATATTTTAAATGTTAATTGTCTTTTCATATTTGGAGACTCTTCAATCTTTATATATGACTAAGATGAATACATTTTATTAAATTTTCAAAACTATCCTAGAAGTGAACAATGAATATACAGATAATAAGGGAATATTCATTGGAATTTGGTCACAATACACTCCCTAAAGTATAATATAATAAGTAGGACATGTTGGATTAATGGATAGTGATTGCTTTCTTTATTTGACTTTAATAGGTTAAACTTCAACAAATTTGTAACTAATTTCTTATGATTGCCTTTATCCTGAAACTAAGACCATCTCAAAGTTTCTATCCTTCAATGCTAATGAAAAATAATAAAATCTGATTAAATTAGATATTGACCCATTTGAATATGAAAACTGTTGGTATTATTTTTCATTAATATATCGACCATCAATTAGTAAAATGGAATATTTAATAGTTAAAGGAGATCAACTATTACTTTATGAAAAAATGAATGCAGATATATTCAATAAAGAAAATTTAATTATGACCATAGGTGGTGGTCTTATTGTACAAAATTCAAATATTGAATCAATAGAAAATGGATCAAAATTTTCATATTTTCCAGGAAGTATTTATTAAGTAGCAAATGGAAAAAATTTAACAAGTTTAATTCCCTATGGATAAGGACAAGACTATTAAATTTATTTTAAACAAAGTTCAATTCGTGTGAACTTTAAATGTAACTGTTTAAAAAACAGTTAACCGAAATTATAAGATTAAGATATAATATTTTTGGATAAAAAAACCTTCATTTCAGAAAATATAAATTGTGATTCCTTTATCTTATCTGGTTGGTATAAAATAAACGCAATTCATTAAGTTGATGATAAATTTACTTATCAATTTTTAAAGTTGATGGCTAATTTTGAAACTGAATAATTATCAAATTCTAATTTAGCACCATTTCAATTATTCTATAAGATATCTCCCTATAGTAATAAATTAATTATTACAACTTATAGTTATAAGTTTCCTTCTATTACTTTGGATTTTACTAATAATTTAAATACTTTTATTATTAATTAAGAGTTTGAATTAAATCACAAAATAACTCTATGGCATAGTTTATTTGTTAACTTAGTATAGGATAAAATTAATATTTAAATTAAATATTTTGATTCTTATGATGTTTATGAATATTCTGTTTCATTTAATGTCAAATAATTTCATAATGTATAATATAAATTATTGTATGGAAATTTAATGAAATTCTTTAACAATTATCTAGATATTTAAACCAGAAATTAATTATTTTTTAATTGCTAATAAAAAATAGAATAATAAAATTGTCATTATACTTGTTTAGAATGTGATGGTCCAACTTAAACTGATTGTTTATAATGTTCTGAAATATCAAAGAGAATATATCTACCATAATATAAAACATGCATATGTCCATATGATTATTTAGATGATCAAATTAATTAAAATTGTATATCTCACACTAATTTAAAATTAATAGTTACTTCATTACCAAACTTTAATTTATGTTAATTTGGTTATTTTGAATCTGATGAAACATGTCATAAATGGTATTAATTTATTAATGATATAGTCCTTCAATTATCTCTGATAAATTGATAACCTGTTTAGAATGCATAAAAAATGTCAAAGGATGGAGTTAAAATCCGTATTGTTAAACAACTATTTATATAAATCCAAATGGAAATACAGCTTAAACAATATTAGAAGAAGAATAACTTTAATATATTTATGACGGTTAAATATCTTAAATTTGTAGATATTGTAATAAATACCCAATATCGAATATTGATAGTACATTTTACATCTATGAATTAATTTTATTAAAATTTAAAGCATTTTGCTAGCTTAATCGATGGATTCTTGATGATGAATTTGATGAAATAAATGAAGAAATTGATTAAAGATTATGTTATGAATGTAAATTTCCAAATTGCTTAGTATGTTCTATTGAAATAACAGAAATTAAATGTATATAATGTACTTCAACTTTTAATTTATAAAATGGAATATGTACAAGAAATAAAAATAATTTATCGTTAACATATTGTCTTTCTCCTTATTATTTCAACTCAATTGGAGAATGTAAATTATGTCCAATTAAATATTGCTAATATTGTTTTGAATATAATAAAATTGATTTATCCAAATGCACTTTATATGCAGACTTTGAATAATTTCCATTTGATGAAAATTTAGGTATAGGATGTGCACTTTGTAATTAAGATTTTATTTTTGATTTTAATATTGGTGAATGCCTTTACCAATAACCTACTTTACCTAATTGTTTAAGGTCATATGTAAATTTGTAAAATTAAGAAATATGCACTTTATCATACACTGATTTTAGTGTAGCTCTAGAAATAAATAATTGTGAAAGGTTTATATAAAACTGCTTATAATGTATTTTTAATAATTTATCTATTGTTAAATGTATAATTTGTAAAAGTGGGTTTACAAGTTCTATCAGATTTGGATATTGTTATCCAAACACTTTAGTAGATGCAAAAATTGTAATCGAAGGTGTGGATGCTTTTAGAGATGGTTGGATATAAAGAATATAGAGTTTTATGATGAAATTCTTACCAAATTACTATTTTTATTCAAGATTTTATACAAGCTCTTATTAAAAGGAATTTTAAATTGAATGTAATGAAGGATACTCCTTAGATCCTTCAATTAATTGTATAAAATTTTGTGATTCAAAATGCATGGATTGTTAATATTCAACTTATATCAAAAGATTTTATTGTGCCTAATGCCCATTAAATTCTCATTATTAGCCTATTCTTAGTGAAGAATTTGGCTAATGTACTGGATGTCCAAAATTATGTCAAATTTGTCAGGAAAGGTCTGAAACAGAAATATATGTAATTATTCTTAATATTTAATAGAAACTAAATTCGAAGTTTAAGATAAACGAAAAAAATAGAATATATACTAAGAAATGTATCAAAACAATATCAAATTCAAATGTTATTCTTGATCCTTACTTTTAAATGGCTAAATATTGCTATAATTCCAATTGTAATTCAGAATACACATATAAATTCAATTAAATATATGAATATTATCAATAAAATCCAATCGATAGCAATTAATGTTACTAACTTGAAATTAATTCATTAACTTTTCAATTTGATTTAAATGTTTATTACCCAGATCCAAATAAAGTCAATTATTTTGAATTTTTAAGTGATTTGAAAACAGAAGTTTTTGTATTACAATTTTTTAAAATTCTTATATATCTATATTAAAGGAAATATGACTATGCATTATTTTCTGGTTTTGATTGTATAGAAATAAATGATGCTTAATTTAAATTTACAGATAAAAGATATTTTTAAATTGCTAATGATAATTAGATTGTGAATTTAATTTTAAATAATTTTACAATTGAATATAGTGAAATTTAAGATATTCATTCTCTATTTGATTCAAAGTTATTTGGAGATATTACTTGGAATAACATTTAATTGATTAATTCCAATTTTGATAATTCATCATTATTAAATCTAAAAAATAACTTGAGTTAAGGAACAATAAAAATTGAAAAAATGATTTTGTAAAATTGTAGCCTTAGAAACTCATAACTATTTTCATTTTCTAATAATCAATTTAACATTTAGATTGAATAATTAATTATTAATTCATCCTCATTTTTTAATTCTTCAATTATCAACTTTTTTACTAATTTCGTTGAAGAAAGCAAATTGAAAATTCATGGTTTAACAGTTACATAAAGTCAGTTTCATTATTCATATATTTTAAATTGTACTGATCAACTTGAAATTAGCATTACTAATTTAATATTTGTATACAATTTGATTAAACTTTCAACCATATTAGGATTTAATTCCAATTTTACATTATTATAAACTTAAATAAATAATAATACTTTTATTGAATCATATTTTGTTGCTTCTTTTTAAACAGAAACCAAAAAGAAATTATATTGTTTAATAGAAAATTATTCAGCTTATCAAAATGAATTTAAAACTTCCATTCTATTTTATATAGAATCAAGTATTTCAAATAAAAATTTTTATTATTAATTAAGATCCATTCAACTTTAGTATAATCAAGGATAAACTAAATAATAACAAAAAGACATAAGTCTATTTACTATCCGTTGTTTTTAAGTAAAAATAGAAAATATTCAGATAATTAATTCAAATAATCTAAGAATATTCTATTTATTTGATGTTTCTCAAATATAAGTAAAAAATATTTTATTTGAAAATAACAAAATTCATAATAAAATTCCATTATTTGTAAACTGTTCAGATTACTAAAATTTTAACAATCAACTCTTTTTTATTTCAGGATATACTATTATTACCCTTTAAAATATTAAAGTATTATAATTCTTTAGTATTGATTTATCATTAATAGAAATATCTTCAAATAGGAAAAGTGCTACTACAGTTTCTTGAAATATAGAGTTGATAGATTTGGAATTTATTGGAAATCTATTATTACAATAACATTAAGCCAATGCTTTCTCACTAATTGATATAGATTCTGAATAAATTACAAACATTTTCTTAAAAAATATAGTATTTTAAAAGAATATTTTTCATTTGTAATTTGGTGATTAAACAGAATCCTCTAGTTTGATTCAAATAATATCAATTGCAGGACTAATAGAAATAGTTAATATTTAGTGTTAATATAATGCACTAACTAATTCTTCAAATTCCTTTATAACTTTGAAATCTGAAATTATACGAATAACAAATTATACAGTTTTAAACCATAACATTTTACCTTTTGAATTATGGGAACTATATTATGATTTATCATTAGAGAAGGAATAATATTAATTAGATTAGGAATATGTCAATTTAATTATTTCATAAACATCCAAAATAAAAAATAAATGTGGAGCTGCTTTAGTTACTGCATCTAAATTTTTTTGCTTTAATTGTTTATTTTAGGATATAATAGGATTAAAGAGTTCTATTTTTGAAATAAATACTTAAGGAGAAGGGTATATATCTAATTGGTAAATTTAACAATTAATTCTTCAGAATATGATTTAAATTAAATAATAGATAGTTCAGGTTGTATAACTATCTATTCATCTAATAGTCTATTTAACTTATAAATTATGAATGCAGTGTTTATAAATATTTTTAATCGTATGACAGCTTCAATTTTCACAATTGTTCCATCTTTTTAATAAAATGAAGTAATTATTTAAGATGTTTTAATTATGAATTGCATTTCATTGAAAAATCCAATAATCAATATATTATTTTCATCATAAACTATTAACCTAAATAAAGTGATTATCAAAAATATGAAAATAAAATATTCTGAGGATGGTTGGATCAAATTATTTGGTAAAACTGGAATGTTTAGTTAATCTGAGATATTTGATATAACTGGCACTTCTAATGCTTTGATTTCCTTGAAAAATTGCAAAGTTATTTTGTAAAACATCCTCATTTAAGGTATTTTTGGTTGTCCTTTAATAAAATTAATTAATGTTTCTTAATTATTAATCTCTTAATTATGGGCAATTGAAATCTAAACATTATATGCATTTAATCTACTAGAAGTATATTTAGAATAATCAATAAATTAATTAATATATTTTGAATTTCTGTATTTTTAATACATCTCAGATTATAATGCTAATAAGAATTTTATCTTTAGTACTTCAAAAATTAACTATGTTATCTTAGGATGTAAATAAGTCAAAAATGAAATATAAGAAGATACAACCTATTCTTTTAATACAATCATCAAACTATTTTAATAATCCCAACAAACAAGCTCATTAATTTAATTTCAATCTAATTCAAATAAAACTGTTTTTCATATTAATAATCTGATTATTTCAAAAAATAATTGTTCTTATTGTTTAAATGGATTGATGTTTTTGGATTTTTAAAACTTTTAATAACTTAAGATTAGGAATCTTTTTTGTTATTCTAATTATATTAAACAATATGGATGTATAATAATTATAACAGCTAATTAAATCAATTAGAATATCTAAATTTTGAATTCGGATTTCCTTTATAATAATTGTAGTTCAGGTGTTGCTATATATTCAGCCAATATGTCTATGAAGATTCATTAGTGTAAAATACTTTATAATATTGCCAATTATTAAGGAGGAGGTTTATTTTTAGATATGAACACAAAAAAATTGTAGATAAAACAATCAACAATTATGAATAATATAGCATAAGAAGGAGGTGGAATATATATATTCAAATATGGTAATATCAATTAAGATAATTTAATTAAATCCTTCTTAAATTTCAACAAAGAAATCAATTTTGCAGATAATTTGGTTGAAACCCCAACACATTTAATTTTGATGATCAATTCTTAAGAAATAGAATCAGAAGAACTTTATATTAATAATATTTCAATAAGAAGATTAAAGCTAAGGCCTCATTATATATTCGAATAAGGAAAAATGATAATGAGTTAATACTTAACTGTACCAAGTGATCAAGTAATAAAAGATTACAGAATTTACATCCTATAATCTTAAAAACATATAAGGATATTTAATGAATTATCAATATCATTAAAAAATAGCAAAAATGAATTATTACATAACCTATAACAATTCGTTTGCTAAGTATCTTAGAATACTGCTAAATTAAATTAATTTTACACATAAAATGAATCTAAAATGATAACTAATTTATAAGTTGATACTAAAAATAATTACTTTGATTTAGGATCTGTTTAATTCCATTACAATCCATACTAAGAGGATAATTTGAATTTATAAATATTAATCAGCTGTTCATCACCTAATTCAAATAAGGATTTATAGTATTTAATAAATGCCAAAAGCTTATAAATGTTAATTAGGAGAATTCTATGTTGATGAAGGATGCTAAATTTGTCAATCAATTTATGGATTTTATTCAGTGACTTATAATGCCACTAAATGTTCCATATTTGATAAAAATAAATTTGCCAATATATCTTCAAATGCAATACAATTATTAGAAGGCTATTGGAGATCAGATTATTACTCTGATTAAACTGATTTTTGTTTCAAGAATATTAAATATTGTAAGGGAGGATGGAAGGTAGGTCATGAACTTTGTAGTATAGGACACCTTGGTGGATTATGCGAAGAATGTGATAAATAAAATATTAGAGGGGAAGGAAAATATTTTAAGAATTAAGAGAATACTCAATGTTATAATTGCTCTACCAGTAATGTTGCATCCTTTATTTTTGCTTCTCTTTGGTAATGAATATCTTAATAAATAAAGGGCAATGATTTCAATTTTAATTACACTAAAAAGCATTGAAAAATCAAATGAATTATTTTCTTCACTTCGATTTAGAATAAGATATAGAAAAATCTTATTTAAATTTTATTAAGGTACTATTATTATATTATAAATTTAGATTTGGAAGGTATTTTCATTAAGATGTTACTCAATTATTTATGGATATTTTCAGTTATATTTACTTTTAATATTAAATTTTAAATATCATTTTCATTTGTTGAACAAACTAGTAATACTTCACAATTCATGGCATTTAGTCTTGATTGTTTTTTATCAGATATTTCTGAAATTGAACTAATTTATGTCAGAATAATTGCTACAATTTTATTAATTTTAATTTAATTTACAATTATTCTTTTTGGATATTAAATTTATATAGTTGCAACTAAAGGAAGATTTTAAGCAAACATTATTTCAAATACATTATTATATTTATATGTATCAAATTATTCTGGATTAATTAAATAGTATTATATTCTTTATAATTAGATTTTGTTCAATTATATCCAGAAGAATAATATCAAACACACATTATATCTAAGGTGATGTTACTTTAAAGTTTGGTTCTTTAGATCATTATTCTTATATATTATAATTTGCTATTCCGGGTTTGACATTTTTTGGATGTTTAATTCCATTTTCTTTATTTCTAATAATGCATCTCAAAAAGGATCAATTTAATTAAATTTCATTAAGAAGACATATTTGCTATTTGTTTAATGAATATAACGAATAAACTTACTTTTGGAAGTAAATAAAATTTTCAAAAAAAACAATTATCATTCTTGTTATGACATATTTTGAATCTAATATATTATTAAAAGCATCTTTGTTGGGTTTATGCTTATTAGTATATTAATTATTGGCAGTAAAACATTAACCATACATAATATCAAATTTAAATAGCTTGGATCTCTAAACTGGGTAAATTTGTTCTATAGCTATTTTTCTTGCAACTGTTAAATATGTGAGTGAATAGGAAACTCAGGAAGAATCTTCTAAAATTTTGTAACTTGTTATTATGTTTCTTTGTGTTAGACTCTGTTATCCATTTATTTTAAATATCTTTCGAGTATACGTTAAAAAATATCGTGTAGAATTTATAACATTACTTTAAACTATTAGTAAATATTTAAAAATAGATTCTCAATTAGTAAATTATCTCAGTAAAATACTAATTTAATGGAGACAAAAAGAAAATAGATTAAAATCAAATTATTAAATGTTAAAAAAATACTTGATGGCTAAATCAAAAGCATAAATCAAATATCTAAAGTAATTAAAATTTTATAGATAAGATCTAATAACTCAGTGGCTTGTGCTTAAAATCCTTTATCATTAAATAGAGATAAACAATTGTAAACAGCTACTGCTAACTTCATAATAACATTTTAGAAATGATTTAGATTAAAAATATTTGTAATCTTATTATTATTCTATATTTGTAGTTCAGTCAAATAATTTTTAGATTTAGTGTTCTAATTTATAAATTAAATAAGCCCTTTTGATTTAATGCCCCTTTTACTAATATATATCTTTACAAGCTAATCGTCAAGTTTTAATTAAATTATTGTAAATTTAGTCGTTTTCAAAATAGTTTGTGAGTATTCAATATCAATATTATAAATATAATCAAAGAAAATCTAATTATCCTTATAATATTTATACTTGATTATTAAAATTACAAAGAAAAAACTACCTAAATAAAATTATTTGAATCGTTTTCAAATTAGATATCTTAATAAAAGTAAATAACTACAAAAATTTAGGTTTCACTAAATAATACTTCTTAAATTTTCTATCTAATTCTATTATAATTAAATATAATTTTTGATAAATTTCTAGTCATATTTTGATGCAAAGTGAAAAAGAGAATGTTCATAGTATAATTATGTAATAAAGTAAAAAATAAACATAATTATTAGTTGATGGAATAGATGAAATCATTTAATAAAATTCATAGTCTTCAGATATAATTTAGAATGATAATCAATCTGATAATTTTTAGAAAATAAAAGAAGAACTAGATGAATTCTTAAAACTTGTTCATGATGATGATAATTTATTTTAAGAAGAAGAAGAAATAAATGATTATCTTAATGAAAATATTCTCAAAAGTTTAAATGAATAAGAAAAAGGCTAAGCAATATAATATTTGATTAGTTCTTAGTAGAATCACAATAAATTTGATTTTCTAAATAATGTCTTAAAATAAAATAAGGAAGAAAATTGCAATAAATCATTACAATCAAATGACAAATAATTTTATTTAGAAGCTCGTAAATAAAACGAATATATTAAAATATTCAATAAATTTACTAATCAAACATTCATTTAGGTTAACAAAATCCCATTTTAAATTTCATCTAATAAAGATATACTTGAGAAAATATTACATAGTCATCCCTAGAAGATAAACCTACTATTTGATTATAACGAATATTAAGAAGGATTAAGAAAGCTAACTTAAATTGAGCTATTGTAACTTCTTATACAATTTATTAATAATACTGAAGAAAAGTTACAATCAATTATTGGAGCTATTTCAAAACGATAATGTTAATAATTTTAGACTTTTATTAATTGGATCTAAAAATAAGATTAAAAACAAAGTTCAACTATATAAAATTAGTAATTCTTAAAAAATCTTCTTTCTTTAGATCTAATTAAAAAAAAGGAAGACTTAATAAAATTCTTAACATAACAAATCAAAAAAATACACTAAAACAATCTTAATTCAGAAAATAATTAGGAATTAATATTAAGAATATTAGAAGAGACATTGTAAAAGTAAATTTGTTGTAATATATAAATAGATTAAGTTTATTTTGCAACTACTTTTTATTTTTGGATATAGCATTCTGAAAAAATTGTTCAATTTCATTAATAAATTTCATAATAATTAATGAAAGTTAAAGATAAATTAAAAGAAAATATTTTTAAAACTAAGAAAAAATAGTATTAAAGAGAGAATCAATAATAAGATTTAATTAATGATTTCTTAATGAATACAATAATATTTTACGAATCTGAAATGTAGCATTAATTTTTATAACTAGATTAAATAGAAAGTAATTTGAATGAATAAAATGATTAAATTAATTTTGACTATTTTTCAACAATCTTTAAACATTTATAAATGGAAATTCATAAAAATGATATGATAGATTCATAATAAAATTTTATGAATTCTTGGTAGCAACTTTAATAACTATAGTTCTATCAAATTAAACTTGATGAAAATAATTAAACCGAAAAGTTTCTTATCCAAATACTCTGGATTAATCGTTAAGATAATATCATTTATGAAATCTTAAAAGATATTCCTAGATAAGAATCAGAATTAATTTATTTCCTTTATAAACTTGATGATTTAAATAAGAAAATGAATTATAGATTTTATTATCTAATACTGGATATTTTGGAACTTATCATAATTAAAAATTATAAAATTTGTTAAACTATCAAAATTTTTTAAGATTAATTTGAAGATTTATAATCCTTTATATGTGTAGAGAATTGTATCAAACTTTAGAAAATGTTAATAAACAATTCTCAGAATATTCTGGATGAAGGTGTTAAAATATTGATGGAAATTTTTTGTGATTTGTTAAGGAAATCAAAATCTAGTTCAAAAAAAGAATAAAGGTATTTTAAATTTTTAGTAACTCTTGGCGGAGAAGATTATGGCAAATAATTCTTAATGTTATATCATAGTTATGAAAATAATGAAAAAAAAAGAAATATTATTAATTTTGTGATTAGACTTTAATTTTTCAAGAAAAATGGAAATTTAGACTCTTTTAAATAATGTTGCTAAAATCTGTTCATGCTAGATGAAGATATTTATAATCAATGCTATGATTAATTTAATGATAAAACTGATTTTTAAATCACACCTATATTTTTCAAACATAAAAAACTACATGAAAAATATCCAAATAATATCAATATTTAAATTGAATAATTTAATCTTTCTAGAATTGATAAGAAATTTAATAATTAAATAAAAGAATGGGTGTCTAATTTAAATAATAGTGAACACTTTTTGTCACTTCTTCCATTTTTATTTGATATTATTAAAAGAGGAGAATCAATAGATCCTTTACTTGATTAAGTTAATAAAAAGATATCAAATTAAAACAAAGAATATATGAATTTTAAAGTCATCTTTTAAATTTTATATAATAATTCTGAGAAACAACTTCAGATGCTACTATTAAAACATTTATCCTTTTATTATCCTATTCCGTTTTTGTACTAAAATCCCAATGTAGATAATATATCAGTCGTAGAAGATTTATATTTGATAAATCCTCATATCTATTTCTTTATAAAAAAACAATATAGTATTATCAATTTCTCTTTTAGTAAAAATTAAACTTAAATTGGTAAGACTGAATTAATCAATAATGTATTTTATCGAAGAGATAAATTTAGTATTTAAGATACTAATGAATTAAATAAAAATACTATCGATCTGATGTTTGATTGTGAGTTTAATGGATCTAGAAATTTATTAATTGCTGACACTCATGGATATATTCCATATTTTTATTTGTTGAAAATATTACCATTATTTAGCTTATGGATAATATAGATGGATACTGAAGAAGAGTTAAAAGAGAATCTTGAAAATATTAAATAATTAAATAGTTAAATCAATACAAAAAATCATAAGATTGTATTAATTGTGAGAAACTCATAAAATAAATAAATAGATTAATCTCTCTTGAAAGATTTAAAAATATATAATATTTAAATATAATATATTGAGAATTTAGCTTCAAAAGGTATTAATAATTAATTAATTCAATAAAAAATAAAACATATACAAGAATATATTTTTTAATTGATAATGAATAATTAAGAATATAAACCATTTAATAAAGAAAATTTTATTTAAATTTTAAAATTGGAAGACAGGGAAGGATTATAAAAGTTAGAAACAACAGTATAAGAAATCAAAAATGAATTGGTAGAATTTTTTAATCAGCCAAAAGGATTGTTTAGTTAAAAAGCATTTCCACAAAGATATTTTGATCAAATTATAAAAGAATTGAAAGAAAAAGAATAAAAACTTTATGAAGAATCAAATTATTGTTTTAATCTTGAAATTGAAGACATTATGAATAAAATTGAAAAATATGAGAATTAGTAAAAAAAATATAAACCAACTAAATTAGTTCAATTATTTCAATAATTAATTTAATTATAAAATTATACATCCTATACATACTTAGTTTAAGCTTTATATGATTTGAATAATGATTCTACATAAAAATTATCAATGAAAAAATAAGATTTATTAGATTAAATTCATATTCATTAAGTTTAAAATAGAGAAGATAAAGAGGGTTTCAATATATTAAAATAAAATTTAGAAGAATGCGAAATAGAACTCTAATCTAAAAGCCTAAGTATTGATATATTTTGGAGAGAACTTATCAAGTAAAATTCTTTAATAAATTAATCACAAGAATTAACTGATTAAATTTTTAAATTGTTAATGAAAGGTGAATCATTTGAGTTCTTGGATGGAGAATAATTTAGAATGGATATTAATATTTTTAACCTTTTAGTAAAAAGTATTGAAAAGATAAATAAAAATAATAAAGTACTTGTTATTGGAATCTTGGGACCTTAAAGCTCAGGTAAATCTACTATTTTAAACAAAATTTTTGGATGTCACTTTTTCTCAAGTGTTGGAAAATCAACAAAAGGGATATATTTTAAGATGATTCAAATAAAAGAAAAATCAATGTTTGGAAATTAATTTGATTATATTTTAATATTAGATACAGAAGGATTATAGAGTCCAACTTAAAAGGACCCTTTATTTGATAAAAGGATTTCCCTATTTATTTTCACTATTTGTGACATTATTTTAATTAATGTTAAAGGGGAAATTAATTCTTAATTTAAAAATCTTGTAGAAATATGTATTTATACATTAGCTTAAATTTAAAATGCAATATCTAATACAAAATAAATTAGTTGGTGTTTTAATTAAAATATTGATACATAAAACAAATCTCCTTTTATTGATTAATTAACATAATTAACAACATAATTGTTTCATGAGGATGGATTGTTTGCAAAAAATAAAGATTAACAATAGAATATATTAGAGTTGATAGAAATTAAAAAGGAAAATATACAAATTTTAAGTACTACCGCAACTTAGGAGACTTGGAATATAGAAGGATTAAATTAATGTTGGACATAATTTATTCCAAATGAATCATATTCTAAGGATGCTTATAACTATGGCAAAAAATTAATTGAAAATTATATTCAAAAATGCAAAAACAAACTATAAAGCTTTTAAGGTTAATTTCTAGGTAATTTTTTTTTTAATTCATACAAAATGTGGGAAACTATTTAAAAATTACCAGATTTGTTGGAGTTTTCAGAGTTGATCTAATTATAACAAAATTAACTAGTTTCTGAATTTTATTATTAACTTTGGAATGAAAACAAATTAACATTCAAATCATAAATACCAATCTTAATAAAGTAAAAAATTGAAAATTTTAATTGTGATTTAAATTTGAAAAACTTTTAAGAAATTAAAAATGATTTAGAAACAAATTTATATAATGATTTTGAGATCAAAAGGAAAATATTTGAAAAAAAACTAAAATAATTCAAAGAAGAAAAAAATATTCAAAAAAATATTTATTAAAAATTTATATAAAAATTATAAAATGAAATTTAAAACCTTTAAACAGAATGCAGTTTTATTATTTAAGAATAAATTAAAAATCATGAAATCAACTTACAAAAAAACCAAGGTTTTAAGGAGATTAATGATTATATCAAAGATTTAAGTAAAGAAGATAGAATAAAATTACAGAATGATGAAAAATCAATCGACCAAATATTCTAACATTTATGGGGGAACATAAAAATCAAATATCTATAAGAAAGAAAAAAAATTAATGATGAAACTTAAACTGCATCATTAAAATAAATAAAAAGCTATTTTCCATAATATTAGCTAAATATTGAGAACGATCATTAATTTTAAATCTTTTTACGTGAAAAAATAAATAAATTTGATCTATAAGAAACAGAAAAAACAGAAATTTTTGAAAAATATTAATAAGAACTTAAGTAAAATTAATTTGAAAAATTATCAAAGACTAATCTATTTAATATAAATTTTGAAAATCTGAGCATAATTGAAAAAATAAAAAAATCTTCATGTTTGTTTTTATCTTTAAGTGAACTAATTAAAATAAAATTTAATTTAAAAATTTTACCTAAATAAGATTTATAAACATATATCAATAATAATTTTAAAAAGGATCTTAAAAAAGCTGAAGGACAAAAGAAAAAAATTTTTAATTTATTGAAAATCCTTGAATTATTTTAAGTAAAGCATGACTTGAATAAAAAAAAAGAATTATAAGAATGTATTTCCAATAAAGACAATTAAGGATATTAAAATACTTGTGATTAATTTATATAAACTATTTAAGATTATGATTTAAATAGAGAATTTTAGTTTTCAAACTATGATCAAGAATTGTGTGAGAAATATATGTAACCTTAAGTCAAAATCAAACATATTATAATAAAGCATGAAGAAATAAATAAGGTAACATAAGACAATATTATTATTTCATAAAAAATAGAGAATATAGAAAGCACTGTTTTTAATAAAGAATATTTGCAATATATTGTCTCTCCTTAAAATTATAAATTTAAGGAATCATTTTCAATAGAATTTAATCAATTGCTTTGTAAAAATGGAAAATGGATTCATATATATTCTGAGATATATGATTATATCTCAAAATAAGTCTTGCATTTTCCAAATAATATAGAAATTATTTCTAAAGATCTAATTTAAAGTATTATGCAATCAATAATTGATTATCTGGAAAATCATTTTTCAATGTAATTTTCTTTTTATGGCCTATAATTATCAGATATTGGAGAAAGATGTATATATTATTACAGTTTAAACTTAATTTGGAGATTTTATTGTTTAAGGATTTGGAGATAGCAAGAAAAAAATGAATAAGAATTTGACAAAAGCAAATAGGACTAATATTAATCATTCAAAAATGAAATATAATAGCATAAATTCAATTTAAGTTAATAAAGAGGGGAATTGCTTGCAAATTATTTAATTAGTTAATATTAATATATTTTTTATTCAGAGAAGAGAATTGAAATTGAGGATTAAATTATGTAGGAGCTAAAATAAAATTAAAATTTAGTACAACAATTAGATGATAAATTATTAAGCTAAAGGTTGCAAATTGCACTATTAAATAAGATGACATATTAAGAATAAGTAGTAGAATATTTGACAAATTAATTAAAGTTTATATAAACTTATGTTAAAGAGTATATGGAGAGGATAGAAAAAGAAATTAGGTTAAAATACTAAGAATTATTTAATCAAGAATTAAGAAATTCTCTAATAAGAGTCGAGAAGAATGGTAATATATTATTGAAAAATCTTTCTGATTAATCTAGCATTATAAGCTATTTTCAAAAATCTATTAGAAATAGGTTCTATGAAAATAATGATGAATAGGAGAAAAAATTAGAAATGGATCTTGAAAAAAAATTATTTAATTTGGTTTTTAATTATCTATTAGAGTATGAATAAAATGAATAAGAAATCCAAGAATTAGATGATTAATACAAATATTACTTTATTCATCCATAAAAAGAATAAAGAAAAATATTTATAAATTAAAGCAATAATACAGATAACTAAATAAATCATATGTAAGGATTTATTTAATCCTTCCTTAATACTATAAAGAACAGAGTATTCAACTTTGACTTAGAATAATTTTCAATTCATGAAAACCTAAACTAATTAAGAATAGCAATGATTGGATGCACTTAATGTTGTCCAATTTGTAATAGAAAATGTGATTTAGATCCAGATTTTCTTCCTCATTCTTGTTTTTAGGGTCATTATTTAAGAGGTATTATTTTATTAACAATTAGGGATGAGAGGTATACTATTAGGTAATAGTCCATCTTTACAGAGTTGCGAAGAAATATATGATGATTAAATCATTAATATTAAAGAAACTCAGGAAAATATCAAGTGGAAAAAAATTAAGGTAATATACCCAAAATGGAATTTCAAAAGTGAAAATAGTTAATAAATATAATAAAATAAAATTAGATTGATGAAAATTTGGAGTAGTGAAATTGGAAAATTGATATGCAATTAATTAAATAAAAACTAGAATATACCAATTAATTATAAAAGTAAGATAGAAATCAAAAATGAAAAAAAAATCTTCTATATTTTTATACTTGATGATTCTTTTTCAATGGAGGGGTAAAAAGGTTTTGAAATGATGGAATGCTTAAGAAAATCAATTAAATTTATGAAATCAAATAAGTAGGCTAAACTCAGTGTAATTTCATTCAATTATAAAGCCAAATTATAAATTGAATACAAAAAACCAAAAGTTAAATTAATAAAATAAATTATTTTAGTAGGAGGGATTACCAATTTTGACCCACCTTTAATACTAAGTTTAGATTAAATTAAAAAATTCCAAGAAGAAGTTAACAAGTAAATATTTTCATAAAATCTAGAATATAAATTCTAATTTATTCTGATGGGGGAGGTTCATATCCTTAGAATAGTTTAGATCAATATAAAGCTTTAGATTAATAATTAAGAAATAAAATATCATTTTTGATTTGTACAGCTGAGAAGAAACCTATAATGTTACTCGAAATGGTTAAGTAATTAGAATAGTCATTCAACATAGTGCAATTGAAGCACAACATTTAGAGTAATGATCTAGGTCAATGTTGGAATGAAGTAATATTACAAGGACAGCTAGATTAAGTTTAATGATCGATTGAAAAATTATATTAAAATAATTAATTGTATGTATTATTTTGCGGTTAACAAGATTTTCTCTGAAAATACTTCTTCACAATCTGTTAATTTTAATATATGCTCAAATAAAACAATGGAAAATACTTGATAAAATTAATATAACTTTGTATTTATGAATCAAAAAGATAACTTATTTTTTTGAATAAAGAATTGATTAAAATTAACAATAGTTTTAACCATTTCATAAGATGTTTCATATAAGATTATTTTATTTTCTAATAAATAAATATAATTAATCAATAGTAATGATAAATTAATTTCTAGCCTATACTTTGTTTTTTGATAATATTATCTCAAACAATAATATTTATTTTTAGAAACTTAATAAAATTCTTGAGAAATGTTTATTTATCTGATTATCTTATTAAAAATAATTAATGAATTTATTAAAATGTATACTTTTAATATTACCTTTATCATCTGAACTTTTAAATTAATAAGTAAAAATCAGCAATTATGTACAAAAAGAATCACTCAAAAATTACAGCATCTGAAATTGTAGGCTCCTCAATTTAATAAAGATATTGCTATCTTAGTATTGATTTAGAGAATAGCGGAAAAACAGGAAACACATTAAAAACTTACTAATTCGAATTAAAAAAAATTAACTAAAAAGTTAAATTGGATTTGTAGTGAAATGAAAATAAAGGAAAAAATCCGATTATGGTATTTATTTATAAATTCATTACTTCGATATTCAAAAATTAGTGTAGAACTAAATATATTTAAGAATGTTAAAACAGATTTTATTTAAATTAAAAGACTATCTTTTAAAACTGTGTTCGAATTACAAAAATGCAAAAAAAGTGATAGACTAATTATTTTGAAATATCAGAACTAGATTCCTCATAACCTAGGAATACTGCTTAAGAATTAATGGAAAATTTGCCCACTTTATTATGTATTAGGATCTTTAGATCATATAGCATCTTAAAATTTATAGATTTCAGCAGAAAAAGTTTTTTATAGTTACAAGTTAACAATAAACAGTTAATGGTTTAAAAGGTTTCTAGAGTTTGAAGTTGAAAAATTACCAAATTTTCAATTTTTTGATAAATAAAAATGATAGAGTCTTAGTTTTTGTTTCTCCTTAACAGGATCATATAATAATAATAATAATAGACTATATAAATAGAAGCACTAAATAATTATTATTTAGCTATTTTGAAAGATCTATTATATGCAGACCATTACAATTGCAAAGGTATAAATTAAAACATAATCAAGCCACTACTTTATTTTAAATAAAGGTTATTATCATTATATATAGAGTGAATAGGTGCATTTGAATATTGTGATTCGATAATTAAAAAAACCCAGAAAATAATAACACTGATTGACCAAAGATTTAAAGTAAAAATTATTTTTTTTTAGCATTAATATTAATCTAGAATAGTAATATTTAAAGGATATTATTTTAAATGTATAAGTTATAATGTATGATTTTTAGCAAATTTGTTATAATGAATATATAGATTTGAAGAAACATTGAAATATTAGGATTTAGTTTATTACATTCAGTTCAATAATCCAAACTATGAAAAAAAAATTAGAATGACTACTTTTTATATAATTACTTTTTTGTGTAAATGTTTTACTTTATGTATTTATATGAGGAACTTTTTTTTTAAATTAGTATAATTAATATAATAAATATAATAAGATAATTTTTTCTATTTGGATGATATTGGTAACAATTTATATCAAATAAAAAAATAAATACTCATTTCATTTTTGTAAATAATTGCATAAATATTTATTGAAAATTATCATGAAAATATTCTTAAATGATACAAATTTAGAAAAAATAATAAATATTTATAGATATTATAACTATTTAATTTTCTTTATTTAGATATTTTAGTTGATATTAAAATATAATTAATTACATAATCAGAATAAATAAGATTAGGCTAATGTTTTAATAAATCAAATTATTTTTTTCTATTAAAATCCAAATAATAAATGATATGTAATCTTTTTTGCAAACTTTTCTAATTTCCTCCAAGTCTTGAACTACTAATTATAAATGCAGGAATAAATTTATGTTCTTTTTTCGATAATTGAAGGAACAAAAAATAAGAATAGGAAATGCCAAATTAAATAACAATACCAGCAGATGAAATAATTTATAATAAGAATACAAGAGTAGCACTTCAAGTCATTTAGATGTTTACGAACTGCTCCTTAATTAAATTAATACCATAATAATTACAAAATTTGATGCAACTCTAAACAAAATAACCAAGAGTGGAACAATATAATTTATATTATTCAATCAGATGAAGATAATAATCTTTAACAAGAGAGATAATACGGCTTGAAATTAGGAGAATGGCATGCCAGGCTACTTCATGATCATTAGAAAATGATAGATAAGCTAAATATTATAAAAAAATAGATCAATTAAAAGAGTGAATCACATTGATGAATTTAGAATTCTAAGTAATAATGTATATACTAAAAATTTATAAAATATCAATATTATTTGAATGTAATAACTAATAGTATTTTATAATCAATATGCTTTTACTATGGTATAGCCTGATTTACCAATGAACTAGTAACCATATTTAATTATAAAAATAATGGTACATTTCCATTATGTATAATGTAGTTAACAAAAAGTATAATTGGATTACTGGTGGCACTTTAGATGAAATCAAATAAATTTAAATAAATCTTAAGAGAATTAGTGCTTAATGCTGATTTTTTTAATATTTATTTTTTTAAATAATTTTTTCTCTCAATACTTTATATTAAGCTTAGATTACATTATTTTTAAAATTTCAATCACCAGAAATATAAATTATTCCTTATACTGAATTTTTATTTTTATTTTAATACCAAAGGTATTAGAGTTAAAATTTTTGTTATTTTATATAAATTATACAATATAATTGTCATCCATAAATATTTCAAATAAGAGTTTAAAAATAAGATCAATTATATACTTTTCTTTGTTTATATTATCATTTTTAGGTTAACAATATAAGAAACAGATATTACAGTTTATAATTCCAAAATTCAATAAAATAATGTTATTTTATTAAATCTGAAAATTTTGATTTACTTTATTGTTTTTCTATAATCTCAAAGCTATCTTTTTTAAATAGAATTCTTTTATATAATTCAATATTTTAGTTATTATCAAATTTAAGAAATCTATAAAAAAAATAAAAAGTGAAATAATGATCAACATGATAGGATTTCTTTTATTAGTTATAGAAACCTAAACCATAACCTTGGAATTGAACTAATTTTACGAGTGCTCATGTGAACACTTATTAACAGCCTAAGATTGCTTAATAACTTTTTGCAATTGGAACAATAATGAAGAAAAATGCTCAAATAAATCTTGTAATGAGTTCAATTAAGGTGATTGTCAAGGTGTTCCAGATTCATTTGGTTGCATTTGGAATTACAATTCTAATGAATGTTAAAACTTTAAGAATTGTTCTGATTATAGTTTTCCAATTACCTAAGCTTCTAATTGTTATGGATTGATAAAATGTTAAGCTAATATTGATTCAATTGATTAAACAGCTGATACTGTAAAATGTATGGATAAGAGTAATGATTCTGCTAGGAGTATTGCCAAATGTGACTAGATACCTTATAGAGATTGTGAATGGCTTGTAACTGATGATAATAAAAAATGTGTTAGAAATATTTAAACTTAAACTTGTGAAACAAAAACAATAAATTAATGTTCTGATTATAAAACATTAGATGAATGTGATATGAATACTTGTTATTGGAATGATTCATGCAATTCTTTAGATTGTTCTAAATTATCAGAAAAAAATTGCCAATTCTATTTTTCCTTTGATTCAAAAAATATTACATTATGTACTTGGAAAGATAACCAATGTGTTGAATTAGAACCAGAAACTTTATAATAAAATTAATGTTTATCATATACTATTTATTCATATGCTTGGAATCCAGATAGTGAAAGTTGTGAAGTTTGTTAAAAATCTAATTTGTAAGAATTTATTTTCTGCAGATTAATTTTGTTGGCTTTAGTTCTTAATTGAACTCTATAACAGATGATTGATTTTTTTAAATATCAATTTAATAAATATATTTTTATAATTCTAATTGATAATTAAACAGACAATCTTTTAGGAACCTATAAAATAGCATAGAGCATATTGTTGATAGTTTTATGATGCAAATAATTTCATAAAGGTTTTTACTTAACTTTATTTGATTTTATGTATTTCATCCTACATAAATTAAATTTTTTAGTTCCAGTTATATTTTAAACTATTTTAATACATTTTTTTATTTTATCAAAAACAAACTTGAATTATTAATTGAACAATTTTCTTTATTAACAAGAACTTTATGAATTAATACTCACAACAGTTAAATTTGTTTTACTTTATCTCTTTATTTCTTATTAGACATACAAGTGCTTTTATTTTTCTATATAAATTTATACTTTCCAAATACTAATAAGTGTGAGTAGAAATGCATTTGAAATCATATTATAAAAGTAATTCTTGGAAGGGAATATTATTGTTGGACAAATGAAAAACAAATTTACCCAAGAAAAGTCAAATTCCAAAAGGAACAAGATGTTCGATATGGATATAGATAATTAATTATCCTTTCCATATAAATTTTATTTATAATTACTTTCTGAGTGAAATTTGTGAGGTTTACCTTTTTGTCTTTATTCAAAGAAACAAATATAAGTAATTAAAATCATATTATTTTGTAATATAAAGCATCAATTTAATAAAATAAATATATGTAATAAAATAGAAACAGAAAATCGAATTATAATTACACAATTCATTAGATTGTTTAATTTATAGGAAAAGTCAAAGATTATAATTCTATAGAATGATGTATTTAGAATATTGAAATTTAACAACACAAATTCTTTGTTTTCTACTGATATTGAAACAATAATAACAATGAAAGTTTTCTCAAAGGGCTTCATTATAAGAGAATTTAATCATATCACACAGTAATTATAGAGATTGAAATACTTGAACTGCAAAAAATAAAATCTTCATTACAAGGCATAACGATTCAATTAACTAAAAAATCACCTGTTTTCAAGATTAAAAGCAATTAATCCTAATATGACTGATTAATATTATCTAAATTATATCGTATTAAACATTTTAGATATAATTAATATTCCTTAACATCAAATTTTCATTAATATAAAAATAAATTTAGAACGATCATTATCTTAATCTTCTTGAAGAAGCAAAATTTTAAACATAAATGTAATCTTATTTTGGGAGAAAGTGTTTAATCATAAAAACCTATTATCCTAGATTATTTTCATTCATTATTCAATAAATTAACAAATAAATTTAATAATAATAGTGCAAATCTTCAAAAATACTTAAATCGTAATCTATTAATAAATTCAAAAGATTATACAAAAAAATTACTTCTGCATGATTTTTTTCTTCATCGATCTTTATGAAATAATTCATCTACTGATGTAATCTTTGACCTATTTAGAAAAAGGAAATTTAAATTTAATATTCACTGCAAACTACTATGTCTTTTTATAATAATTAATATATTTAACTAATATCAAAATAATTTAAAAACACTAAAAAGTATTCTAAATAGATTATTCTCCTTTAATAGCAGTAATAATATAATGTAACCCTAAGCGTGAATACTTATGGATTTAGACTTTTAAATGAAACAGACAAATGGTTTACTCAGAGAAAAGATATGATTGGGTTGATAGGGATGCTAACGGTGTTAAAAATTTTGAACTGATATACATGAATTAAGAAGAATGGAAAAAACTGTTGAACAGAAATTATGTATATAATTAGATTAAACAATTATAGTAGGTTCAAGGGGACTTAAATCTTCCAGGTAGATTAGAGTAAAAAGAAAGAAAATCAAGGATTGCTGAAATTTAAATGAAAAATAAGTTTTTCGATAAGTAAGATGTATTTTGAGGATACATTATGATAATTTAGAAATTCATTATTTTTGGAAATAATGGTCTTATAAATTTTTGAGTTTTTAAATTTGTTTCTCTTTAAAAATATTACAACATTTATGACTTCGATTCTCCAAAATTAACTATATGAGAAGTTTCTTGTAGATTCAAATCTTAAATTATTATTCTTCATTTTCTTTTTGCTTTTCTAATTATTAGTTCACTTATCTTTAATAAATTTTCCAAAGTATCGCTATTAGATTTATTCTTGATTACTATTATAATAAATTTTTTAGATATCAAAATATTGAACTTTTTATTTATTTAGATTTTCAAATGATCTGATGCTATTCATATAATTTCAATTAAGAAAAATAAGATACTATTATTTAATGCAACTCTCTGTTTTAGTGGTGAAAATTTAATATATGATTTTGATTTAAAAATTCATAAAACGAGAATGAATAATATGATAAAATGAAGATAAAAAATTATATAAGTATTTCATAAATATTATTAAATAATAAAGAAAATCAATAAAAAAATGAGTTTATACTTATTGATGATATCAATCATAAATCAATATTTCAATTCTCCTGATATTATCTAACTTAAATTTCTTTCGATTTATTATCCCAAGTGATCAAATACTATCCATCATCACTCATATTACCATAAATAGCAGAAGTTCCAAAGTTAATAGATTCCTCGGTTATAAATTCTCCATTTTTTTTCCTCCTTATTAAACTTACAATTGAACTATTCTTATTCAAAAGCATACATTTTGATCTTATATATTATTAAGGAAATAAACCGTTATCAGAACCACTTTTTACAGGAATCTCCTTTGTCTTAGTATACTATTTATTATTATTATTCATCTCAAAAACTTCTATGTACTCTTTACAAAAAGGTTAGAATGTGAATGTATCATTATCAATAAAGCATAATCTAAATCCATATTGTTCTACTGTTATTTTTTATATTACAATCCATTATTTATTCTATTCATTTTGTTCAATTACTAATATGAACTTATCATCTCCACAAGATATCAATCTATTTTATTATTCATTGAAACTTAATCCATTTATAATTTGTGTATGATCATTAATAGTCTAAGAACACAGCCATCCATTTTAATTCTACCAGAATTTAATTTAATTATCGTTACTACCAGATACAATAATATCTTCATTATTATTTAATAACAAACATTAGATACTACCTTTATGGCCATTCAATTTCTATTGGCATAAATTCAAACACTTTAATTTAATTCTACCATCCAGCAATTAATATTGAACAATCTTTATTAATAGCAATTGCATAACATAATTGATCTTATTTAATTGAGTTTTATTTTATAATTTAATAAGTGAATGGTTTAAGATTAGATATTATAGTTGATGATTGTTGAATAGTTAATAAATTAGAATTTTATTGAATCTAAGAATCTTTTACTTATATTTGATGTTCTAATTTTTCTTGAATTTCTTTGATTAATTTTTGACATTAATGATCCTTCTTTTAAATTTAATTTTAAATATTATTCTTTATTAAAAAAATCATTTCTTAACAGATTTATTTTGAGAAATTGTCATCTTATTATTTAAACAACTTATTAAAATTTACTTTTGGGAATTCTTATTAGAATTAAGATTCAATGATATTAAATTAATTTAATTCATCATTAAGAAGTTCATCAAGTTTGGCATCAATATTGTTAAATGAGTTCTATTTAAATTTTTTAAATAAATAACATTTTTACTTCCACTCCTTAATACAGAGTTTCTATGCATTCATTAACTTTTCTTTGGTGTTCTTTTCTTAAATTTTACTCAAAGACTGTTTGCATTTCAATTTTATAAAATATTTTATTTAATGATTGCAATTTCTTTTAAAATGTTTAATTATTTATTTGATGATTTTGATAATGCCCAATAAGAATAATCATGAATAAAATTTTTTTTATAAGTATATAGGTCATAGATGGTGACTTTCAAAACTAAAGTCCATATATAAATTTTTTTGGGAAGAATATTCATAACCCTTAATGATTATTATTATTAATAGAATATTTTTATAGTTTGCCTTATAATTAAATTCAAATCTTAACATAAAATAAAATAATTCTTTAAATCATTTCATAAAACCTCGTATCTTATTTAATAATTTTTTCTTACAATTAAAGGATAGCATGGATTTAAAGATGGAGTTTAATCATATATTATTTATAGAATATCATGCTCTCTTTAATTATTTTAAGACTAAGTATGAGTTTCTTTGTTTGTTCTATCAGCCCTATCAAATATTAATAAACTTAGATGAAGAAGAAGAAACATAAAAATCCTAAAATGCAAAAAATTTTGTTTTTTTTATAATAAAATATTTAATAAAAAATAAATAAAATGATAAATTTATTTGAAAAACGAAAGCAAAGAAATGCAAATTACTAGGATTATTTAAATTATTTAATCTAATATCTCATTATATACCCCATTTATACAAAATTTATTTATATTGCTTAAGAAGAATTTTTAGAAAAATACTATGATCTTCACCATTTAAATATATGAGGAGAGGAATAAAGCATAAAAAGATTTTTTAAGGGACATCTAATGATACTTGTTGTTTAAATTTAAATATTTCTTCTTTATAAATAATTCAAAAAATCATATTATTAATTTATTCTGTAAATAATTTTTAACAGAATCAGATTAGTTTACAATCAAAAAATTAATAAAATATTATCTATTCCAAATTTACAAATCATCATTCCTCATCAGTGTCTTTTTTTGATATTTGATTGGGTAATCGATAAAATTTTTGAAAAATCTAGAAATCCTGATATAAAAATTTATTGGTAATTTATATCTCACTAATATATTTAATACAAAAAAATAAAATAAGTTATGATTATTTAAGAATTAGTATTTATTATGTCAAATAAATAAAGTTATTTAAGTTTATTCTAAAAAATATATAAAAAATCAATTATTTTTTTTCTTTTTAAGTCTAATAACAAAAAATTATTTTAGGTAGTATCGTTACACTTAGACTTAAATAGACTACTTTTTTTATAAATCTGGAAGGAAATAATGAGTACCACAATCAATTAAAGCTTTTTATTTTTCTGATTGCATCTCTCATAAACTGAAAGATTTTTTAGCACTGCAAAAAAGTTATTAATTTTATATTTGGAGAGAAACAGAAAGATCTAATATAAGAACTCTGAAAATCTATTTTGACTCTCTTTTCCCCTGTCTTAATATTCTATAATCGGATGGAATTATCATAATTAGATATTGATGATTAGAAAAACACATCGATCTAACATAATTATATGACCATCCAAATTGGTTTTTTATCATACTTTTTTTAGAAACACAATATGACAATATATATTTATATAAGGAGCAATAAACTCAGTTATCTTTTTAATTATGACTGTCTCTGATTATTCTCATTTGACATTCATACAGATGGATAGCCTTGTTACTACTACCAGATGCTAACACTGCTGCCAATAGAGAAACTGACTGACATTACAAATTTTCATGACCATCAAATTTGGCTCTCTGATATGCGAGATTCGTATTTATTTCAATCATGAATAAAACAGATTGATTTAACATCATCGCTCTAAGCATCGAGATAGATAGATATATCTATATTACCAAAATTTTATGTATTTCTATCAGATGAGAAACAGATTGAATTTACCCAATTATCATGGCCATCTAACTTGGTTAACTGAAATCTTTATTTATACTTAAATAGAGATGTTAAACAAGAAGGATGAGTCAATCAATCATAGAACTTAAATAATGTATAAATTAAAATATTTCATATAAAAATAAGATATTCTATATTCTTCAATGATCTAGATATGCAAATGTTAGAATGAATTTTCAATGTAATATTCTACCTCTTTTCTTATCAATTTCCAATATACACAATGTCTGACCTTCAAATTTACTAAAATGCATAAGATACTATTATCGATTTTTTTCATTATTTAACCTAAAATTAGAGTCTTAAAAACTCAATATTAAAAATAAAAAAAGAAAATGCAGAGCTCTTTTTTATAGAATGGCGCTCTAACTGACATCTTTGATTCAGTAAAAGATGTAGATATACAAATCTTTAGTGTCATACTAGAAATATTAAGAAAGGAGGAAGGTAAAGATTGCATTGGATTTTTATCATATATTGAAAATCAGAAACAATTAGAATTATAAATTTTAAAATAAGTAGGGATTATCACCAATGCTGATACTGAAGAAATATTGTCTCATGTAAGAGAAGACATGAAAAAAATGACAGATGTCTTAAAAAAATTAAAAGATCATGACTTCAACAACAAAGACTTTTCCTCTGAAGAAAATGAAGTTTCTACATTAAGTCTGATGAATAGCATCAAGGATAAAAGAACGATCGTTGAATTTTTGTAATTTTTAGTTCAACTCACATCCATTGATGAAACTTTGATATAATGTGGGTCTAATGCATTTCATCTATTAGTTTAGGTAAAGGTAGACCTTAGAAACAAAAATTATGAAAATATTAAGATCTAAAATACATCCCTGGTAGGAGCTAATTTTGTTAGGTGTAATTTAAGTGGATCCTAATTTAATAATGTCAACATAAATGGAATAAAATTGAATGGTGCTTATATGTTTAATTGTAAATGGAAGAACATTAAAGTCCATGAATTGAATAAGTTGGATGGTCATAGGAGTTGTGTGAATTCAGTCTGTTTCTCTCCAGATGGAGATACATTAGCTTCTGGTAGTTATGATAACACTATCCGTTTATGGGATGTCAAAATAGGGTAATAAAAAGCCAAATTAGATTGTGATTCATATGCTGTCTACTCAGTCTGTTTCTCTCCTGATGGAAATACATTAGCTTCTTGTATTAGTGATAACTCTATCCGTTTATGGGATGTCAAAACTGGATAAGAAAAAGTTAAATTAGATGGTCATAATAGTACTGTCTACTCAGTCTGTTTCTCTCCTGACGGAAATACATTAGCTTCTAGTAGTGATGATGAGTCTATCCGTTTATGGGATGTCAAAACTGGATAATAAAAAGCCAAATTAGATGGTCATAATAATACTGTCTACTCAGTCTGTTTCTCTCCTGATGGAAATACATTAGCTTCTGGTAGTAATGATAAGTCTATCCGTCTATGGG